CTACAGCGCCCCAAACCAGATCGTAAACAAACGTACCAGAGTTTATTCAAGTTACATTATGACTCTGTGCCCGACTTTGTGCAACTCTGGACATGCAAAGTCTGTTAAATCTACTAACTTTACCGTCATATCAGCGTCATGCAGTGAAATACAGTCGTCGTCTCTATATGATCCTTTGTGTCTGTGAGATAAACATCTGGTGAGAACGCTCCACCTCGGGCCTAAACCCACATTAAAGGATCACACTGAAAAACCGTGCAATTTACTCACATCGCTGTATTTTCCCCAGAAATTCCAGACCACACGCCGCGAAAATCCATGTTTTTATTGCATGTGAAACTCAAAACAATGATGTCATTCTCTAAATATAGTTAAGAATATAATTTACTACTACAAATACTTATACTGCTGCTGCTACTTCTATTTGTGTTGGAAATCTGGCTTTTTGGTCTAATAGTTAAAGCATTTACCCCTGAATTAAAGGTCCTTGATTTAACTTTCTGACAGTTTTAATCAGTGATAAAACTAAAACTACATTGCAAAAAGTGGAGTGTTAAAACTGACTCTCACACAATCAATTTTAACACTTTCTCGGGGTTTTTGGACGTGTTATTTAAGCAACGCTGGACCAAAGTTTCCGTTTAACCCCGAAATCAAGAGTTATATTAACATTTTTTGAGAGTAAACGGATAACGCTTTGTAAAGTTATCCTGATTTAGCTACAGAACACACGGAGGCGATTTATTTTTACACTTTATTTGAGTTAATTTAAGATGAAATTATGAACAAAACTGGTTCAAACTGGTCTTTTCTCGTGGGAGTTTGAAGTGGTGGGTGGGAGGAGCCAAATTAACACTAGGCGAAGTTGAATTAACACGAGAGGAAGTTTAATTAACACTAGAGGAAGTTGAATTTACACTAGAGGAAGTTGAATTAACACTAGAGGAAGTTGAATTAACACTAGAGGAAGTTGAATTAACACTAGAGGAAGTTGAATTAACACTAGAGGAAGTTGAATTAACACTAGAGGAAGTTGAATTAACACTAGAGGAAATTTAATTAACACTAGAGGAAGTTCAATTAACACTAGAGGAAGTTCAATTAACATTAACCATATCAACTCTGGAAAATAATCCCAACTCGAACCCCCATTTAACTTTCAAATTAGTTAAAATATGACATTTTGTGTTAAAAACAACTCTGAAATTTTAACCATCCAGATTTTGTTGTGTAGTAGGATTGGAACGAGATATAATTTTCACAAGACGGGGCAAGACACGAAACTGGATCTACAAAAACGAGACAGAATGAGATTTTTACTTTATAATGAATAAATTGTCCAATCCAGTTCCCAGTTTTAGCCTCACCATTTTTTATTTACTTAATTTAATCGTTCTGATGTCACTGTCACACTACTTTTTTGGGACTACAGTTTCTCAAAAATATAAAATACAATCCATCAGTACATAGCTCAATTTTTTTATCCAACCCAAAAACAATCTCACGTGATCATTTTCAGGACTGCGTACCAATTTTCTCTCACAAGAATTTGTGACACAAGATCTTGTCTCATCCTTAAAAACAAGGCAAGTTTATTTGTACAGCACAATTTATACGCAAAGTAATTCAAAGTGCTTTACAGAATAAGAAATACATTACAAACATAATGAAAACAAATCAAAACATAAATAATCATCGTGAAAATTTTGCGTAAAACTAATAAAATCCTTACATTTTTCTTGTGTCAAATGAAAAATTAACTCTTGTCTTGTGTTCCACAGTATGGCATTAAACTTATCCTATCTCCATGGAGACAAGCGGGGTAACCAAGTCACTTTACGAGTCAGATCTGTGAAAATGCAAGCCCACCCACAGGAAAAATGCACGTTTTCAAGATTTCTGGCCAATAAAAAAAAAAATAATAATAATTGAACAAAAATAAATAAAAATAATTGAACAAATAAAATAAATAATAAATAAAATAAATAATTGAACAAATAAAATCAATAATAAATCATGAACAAATAAAATACATAATAAATAATGAATAAATAAATAATTGAACAAATAAAATAAATAAAAATAATTGAACAAATCCTACATAGATACTGTAAGTCTAATGCTGTACTGTGGGACTTTACAGCAATAACAAGCATTACATCTACATTATGTCAGACTCCTGCATTTTAAAATCCAATTTTTTTATTATATTTGCAAATTGGATATTTATTTAATAACATGCACAAGTTCTATGAATCTGTGTATAACATTTTTAATAATTGACAGTAAAGTAAAATGTATATAATATTAGTAAATGACTGAATAATAAATAGAATGTTACATAACTCCTAAACAATGGCCTCATTTAGTCCACTTTTACCCCCACAACTTTTAAAAAATCCTCTTATGACGAAAATGTCAGAGGGCGGAACCTTTCGTCCGCCTAAAACCCTTGTTCCCCGCGCTCCCGTCACTCTGCATTGACTTCTCCGCCCGGACACATTTGACCGCGACACCCCCTGCAGAATGTGGCTGACGGAGGTTTTGGTTCCGCTGCTCCGGCTTTACCTTTGCGGCATGAAAGTTCTCTGGTACCAGCTCTTCCACAAATCCTTCACGATGCCAGGTGAGTCTGCAACTATTCACCTATTTGTGGTTAAAATTTGAGCCGTATATGTTGAGTTTTTGCTGCGTTTTGTGCTAAAAACAGACGCGATCGATGTTGCAATACGAAACCATCAGCGCCAATCGAACCATTTTCTGGACATTGCAATCGTATTTCCTCATTTCTGCAAAGTAAAATTATACAGAAAAATTGTGTACAGTCTTTTTATTGCATTGACAACTAAAACAATCACTTTAGTAGCGATTTGCACTGTAAACATGCCTAAATTTCATACAAAATACCACAATAACAATACGATAGGGTTAAAAAATCTAAAGCAAAACGTTTTTTTATTTGATATTACGTAATTATTAACATCTAGACTCACAAAATGAATAATTATTTGTCCAATGTCACGTGCTGTTGACATAACCTTATTTAACCTAATGATAAAATGTCCTTTTTTTGTACTAATGAAATTAAAAGCAAATCATAAAGCTGTTAAATTAGGTTATAATAAGGTCTGCTGATATTTTTGGGCCGGTTATGATCATTTTTCTTAAATTCTGTTATTAAAATTCACCCACAGATCCTCTTTTTTAAATCACAAACCTTTAACAGAGCGGTGTAGTTGTGTATCTTTTTGTATTCAAGTGTTAATATAAAGCTTTGTGTGTTTTTTTAGCAGTAAAACTAAATACAAATACTCTAAAAATACACAAAAAGAGCAAATATCGGTCCAATATATCGTCATATCGGTCTATCTGTAATGATATTGACATTGCATTAGTTAAATTGGCTTACTTGAATCTTACTAACTACTAATTTACTAACTTTCTAATATTTATAGTTTAAAATGAAAGATTTTTTATAATGTAACTTTTCTGGTAGAGGGTCCGCCACCTGCTTAACTGCATGGAGATGTTTTTTGTTTTGTTTTGTTTTTTGCCTGGGATGTTCTGCTGTAGGACATTAAATTGTAGTCAAGCTGGGACCACCTAATGTCTCCGCTCAATTTCATTTCTCTGCAGCGACTAGATCAGGAATCAGAATATGCTACGATTTACAAGAACCTCGGAAGTTGTAGAAGAGCTGTGAAGACATGACGTCGAACTCGTCATGCCTGTCTGGGTCCATTTTGTGAAACAGCACAACAGTAAACAAAGCAGTTGAGATCAGGCTTGCCGCAGGGTCTTAAAAGTCTTAAAAAGGTCTTAAATTTCATTAGTCTATTTTCTGTAAACTCAACCGGGCCGCAATGCAATGGAAAAAAGACAACAACATGAAATTACATAACGTGAATGAACGTTTAATTTGGAGTATGCACAAACAATACTTTGGTTTCTGGCACCGGTGGCAATGAATAAAGAATCAGTAGAGTGGAGGAAGACGTTGGATGGATCATGGGGAAGTGTCGGTTTAATCCGCAGTGGCTCTTAGATTTTAGATGTAGCACCGGTAGTTAGTTGGTCATTATTAGAATTGGATCTGGTGTTTTTCGCCCGCATAATGGTAGCGATGTTGGTCTTAATTTTCATTTAAGTGGTCTTAAAAAGGTCTTTAAAAAGTCTTAAATTTGGGGTAGTCAAACCTGGGGATACCCTGAAGATAGATGTAGACGAAGACAGACATTCAGTATTGGCAACGATTCCCGAGATCGAGGATTTAAAGCGAATGTTTGGTGAATTTTATCAAAGGGAAAAGACGTTATTGTCCTTCTTCCTACGATGTTTTGGTGCATTACATACGTCAAGACCAAACAGCAGCGATTGGTTAAATTTTAAAAAATTACCCACCTACTGTCGAGCGAACAAATCCTGATGCTGCGAGGTCAGACGGTTTCCACAAAGTGAAACCGTCTGAATCAGGCTAATTAAATTGACCTCCAAAGGGCAAATGACATGTCAGGTCTGCGGAGAGGCGAGACAACCCAATTGAAAGGTGCTTTTGAGTTGAGAATAAACATCTTTACTTGACTAAACACAAGATCGATGAACTTTTTAAAAAAATATTGCAGGTAAATCTTAATAATCTCCATGGGAACGAGTATGTAGCATACCCTCCTACAGAAAAGTTACATGGTGCATCTTTAAACTAATAAAAACAATGAGTATTTCTATGTAAAGTGCGAGAGTAGAGTTTAACCAATCAATCAAGTAACTAAATTATTAGACAGAGTTGGTACTTGGTCCACAGTGCGTTTTTTTGATGGTGTTTTTGGTTCAGGACTTTCCCCTTTTCAAATCACAGTGAATCTTAAACTAACAAGAGCGATCCTGGAAAGTCCACCGTTTTATTAGTCCTGCGGCGTGACTCATAAAGCATTAAAACGTAATGTGTTGTTAAAGGGAGAAAAAAAAGTATCGAACAATCGGCGCTCTGTTTGGATGAGATTCGTTCTAATCTCTCGAAGAATGTGACCGATTTAGACGTGAATAAGGAGATTTCAGACATACCGTTTGCAATACACTTCACTTTCACAGAAAAAAAAAACAACACTTTGCAATTCTAGACAAACACATCAGAAAGGAAATTAAATGATTAACTTTAGTGATAGTTTAATTAATCTCAGAAAACACTTGACGCCGGACACTGGGACCATAAGGAGATAATAAACTTTGATTTACAACAGTGATAATTTCAACAACTGGACGCAAATGTAGCTGTGCTGTGAAAAGTCTTGTAAATAATTAAATTTTTTTAACAAAAGTAGGTCAGCTGTTTTACTTTGGTGTTTTTTTGTTTTGTTTATTGATATTTATGCTTTTACAAATCCTTTTGAAACATGGAAAGTATAAATAGTCCATACATCGTTTATAATCTTGACTAAATGGTTTGACTAAAGAATTACAGCCCTAATAAATAAATAAATGTAAATTGGACGATTGTAAAGAATGTCACTTAGAATAAAGTTGACACTCGTAAACTACGGGGAGTGTAACGGTACAAAAATCACGGTTTGGTACATATTTTAGTTTTCAGGTCACAGTTCGGTTCGTTTTTGGTACAGAATTGGAACAAAAACATTTCCTTGTTGTTTATTTGTGTGTTTATTAAACCAACTATTTGTTTTAACATTATACAAACGGGAAAATAAAATAAAGCAAAGAGCTGCTTGGTAATACTAATAAGTTAAATTAAATATTCTCAAATATCCAGCAAATGTATGTAATATTATAAGAAATAAATTCCTTCTAAACAGTAAACAATTTTTTTCAAATAGTAAAGTGGAGGACTAACAGTTTTACGATGAAGTATGACTCAATGTTTATATATTTTTGACCAGAAAAACCAACTTGTCCACATTATCTGCAGTAAGTGTAGATCTAGTCCACTGAGATTCATTTGGTCTTCTGATACTTTATGTTATGAGGTTGTGTTTGCAGACCTAGAGTTTAGTTCCTCTGAGGAAGAGCGCGAGTGAGCAGTCGAAACTGTCAGGTATGAAACTAAACTCTAGGTCTGCAAAAAGAACCTAATAACATAAAATAAGTGCAGATCTGTTGGTAGTTGAGGGGGGGGGTGAGATTTCGTGCTGGCGAAAGGCGAAAGTGAGGACCACAGCGCAACGACTGTAGTTTTGCGAGGATTCACATGGTTCGGGGTGAATTGTTGTCGAGGCGGCCGCTCTAACTATAAAGCGCTTTAGAAAACACTGCCCCAATCATGGACGATTTCCCTCATGAATATTAAAGAGCCGATCCTTCCGTGTAGCTGCACATGTAGTGGAGGAATGTAAACACACACAAATTGAGCGAACTCACTCCGAACCGAACATCCTGTACCGAAACAGTTCAGCCCAAATACATGTACCGTTACACTCCTGTTGTAAACCAGTGTTTTTATTCTGAGATGAATCTGTTAGAGTGTTAAAATCTGTGTACCAACATTTATCTCACTGTTCCTGTCAGGTATTCACTAACAGAAGTGGATTTCTAACACAACCAGAATTCAAAACCAAGATCTGAGCCAAAACTCAAACCAAGATCAAGATCGAAACCAGGATTTTAAAAAAAGACTTAAGAACTAGGATTTCAACATAAATCAAGACTCAAGAAAGACCAAAGACCAGACCCGGCCCCAAACCCCATCAGACTATGACCTAAACCAAGACGTAAAAAAAAACTAGTAAGAACTCACCCAAAAAGAAAAAGACCAAGGTCCACACCAAGATCTAAACCAGGGCTTAAAAAATCAAAACCAGGACGAAGCTAACATCAATCAACTAACATAAATCAAGAATCAAGACCAAGGTCCAAACCAGAATCTAAACCAAGACTCAAAAACAGACCTTGCACCTAAACCCAATCATGGAGGGCAAGTCCGGACCCTCTGGCTCTGGGCTGAACCTCGTGGCTCATCCTCGCGCCAAAAGCAAAGTTTGGAAATACTTCGGATTCGACACGGACGCCGACGGATGCATTTTACACTGGAAAAGGATCTACTGCAGAGTTTGCATGACGCAGATCGCGTACTCTGGAAATACGTCAAATCTCGCGTATCATTTAGAGAAAAACCATCCTGTCGAATACGGGGAACTACTTAAAAGCAACACCGACCAAATGCGTGAAGCTTTTGTCACCGCGTATACGAAAATCAAAACTGAGCCGCTAATTCTCCAAGTCGCGCAGCCTTATAACCAAAACATGCAACAAAATCTTTCCAACAATTGCCGACATAACGACTTAAGTTTGGCGATTCTCAACTTTATTTGCGAAGGTTTGTATCCGGTTTCAATCGTGGAAGAACCGACGTTTAAATCGCTAATGACGACCGTCGATTCTAGCTTTAGTTTACCGAGCAAATCCGACTTGGCGCTCAAAATGGTGCCTCAGATGTACTGCCGAATTCGTAATGAAGTTTTCTCCGAGCTTGCGAACATCGTCTACTGCGGGATCTCGACGGATTTGTGGCAAAGTCTGACGCAAAACCGTACGTACATTTCTTTATCGATCCACGCCGTAAACTGCAATACCGGCGGTGGATTTTCGATGGTGAACAAATGCCTCAAAACATTCGAAGTGCAAGAAGACAACACCGCCGAGAATATCACGAGAGAAATGTACGAAACTTTTGTCGAATGGGGTATAACGCACAAAGTCAGCGGCGCGACTACGAACGGTTCAGTGGATATCGTAAAGGCGTGCTCACTTTTAGAGATGTCCGTCGAAATGCCGTGTCTTGGTCATACTTTAAACCGCGCAATGGACGAAGCGTTTCAGCTACCGAGCGTCGATACTTTTCTCGGATGTTGCCGTAAACTAGTAGACCATTTTAAAGAACCGGTTTTGTACACTTTGCGTGAAAAACAACAAATGTACGGGCTACCTTTGGCGACGCTAGTTTCCGATAAAGGCGGGACTTGGTTAGCGACGTTGGCGATGCTGCAGATGCTGAAAGATCAACAAATGGCGATCAACGCGGTGATTATGCACGAGGATAGCGGACATCCGTTCAATTTTACGCGCTCAAACTGGTCGCTTTTGGAAGGACTGATTGACGTACTGCAACCGTTCAAAGTTGTCGCCAATATGTTTACGATGTGCAAATTTCCGACGATCAGCATGGTCAAACCGGTACTACACATGCTACTAAACAACAACCTGAAAACCAAAGACGGAGAGTTGAAGGAAGTCCGTCTTATTAAAGAAGTCGTCGCCAAAGTTTTGACCAATACATACTCGGAAAACTCGCAACAGGAAATCGCGATGTTTCTAAATATCGCCACGTTCCTTGACCCGAGGTACAAAAAGTTGCCGTTTTTGTCGAATAAAGACCGGGCGAAAGTCGAGTCGAACCTGATTGACGAAGCGAAAGTGATTCTCGAGAAGCAAAACGCCTGCCTCGAAGATTTCTCCTTCGAAACGGACGAACCGCCAAACAAAAAGCAAGCGACGTCAACGCATGATAACCCTTTGGCGGCGATTTTTTGCCAATCTGAGTCCGACCAAGGCCAAGAAGAGCTGAATTCTCAAGTTTTGGAAGAAATCGGTAACTACAAATCGCAACGCGTGCTCGGTTTAAACGAAGATCCTTTACTGTGGTGGTCGAGTCACGCGACGCTGTTCCCGACTCTGCCCAAGTTACTGCAGAAGTACTGGTGCGTTCCTGCCACTAGCGCCCCCTGCCATAGACTCTTCAGCTCCTCCGGTACGGTTCTGTGCGGTAAAAGAAATCGCATCAACCCGTCGTTGGTCAATCAGCAAGTTTTCCTCTACGAAAACTCAAGAGGGTACTACGAACCCGAGCCGTGCGAGGAGGATTTGGACGTCTGGGAGGCCAATTCTTCTCTGGGACAACCGCTGTAATAAAAAATAAAATAAATATAAACCAATAAAAACCATGTATGTTCAATCGCATAAACTTTTCGTAATACGGACGCCATTTTGAGGACTTCTGACCATTCAATTGATGGAATATTGTTGTTCTGAGATGTGAATTTGAGATGTTATGGCAACTGTCTCGATTTTTTTATTCGTTCTGAAATCCCTAGATATTGGACATTTCGAAATCTGATGTCGACAAAAAGGTTTTAAAACATCCCTATTTAACAAAGTTTAATTATTTGAGCTTTTAATCAGACGTTTTTACAATTCAAAAATAAAACATGATTTTTTTTTTTTAGTTGGTTAAATTAGAGATGTAACGATATCCAAATCTCTCGGTTCGATATTATCGCGATATGCATCTCACCGTACGATATTTATTGCAATATTTTGGAGATTTAATTGTAGATAGGATGCTTTTTTTGCATTTTAAATACCCTGAGAAGAATTTGGTGTGAATTATTCCCGTCATAATCGCAAGAATTCGGGTAAAAACATATTTCTTCATGTTTGCGCTGAAATGCATCATGGGATATGTAGTTCCCGATGTTTATAAGCTATTGCTACTGTTAAAAAAATGCATTTATGAGATGTTTGATGATACGATATCGCGATATTTCTGTTATTGTTACATCACTATTGTCCATATCTTTATATATAATTATTACGTCGCCATTTTGACTGTATATTCTCAGCCGTTTTAAAACTTTTAACATATTTTATTTTGACTTTTTAAAAGCAAAAACGTGAAAATAATTACCAAGAATGTGCCCCAGTGGATCTTTCTGTTTTACGCACCTTAAAGACTTTTATATTTGAGCTTTGATATCTTTGTTTTTTTGTTCGTGTTTTTTGCAAATCTCATGTTTTTGTTGCCTAGTGACACGTCTGCCAATAACACTACTGTTCTCATAAAGCTGTCGGAAAGACCGTTATGTAATTATTTATATAAGGTATCTGTAAAAACAATCTCCCAAAATGTTTGACTTGAATGTACGAATTTCTTTTCAAAACGTGTAAAGGTGATTTGATTTAGTTATTGTGCATTTGAACGCCGTTTATCTCACCTGTTAATCCTCACCTTCTGTGCTCTGTAAACAAAAATTTGGGAGTAAAGACTGAATGAATGAAACCGTCTTTGCGTGTTTGTTTATTCTGTGCAAGGTTTTCACTTTGTTACGGTTGGCTTCATTCGCACATATTTGAGTAATCCTTTATTATCAGTCCGTCTGCATCTCCAAAGCTCAGAACGCTCTGTTCCGCCTCGTCATGTCCTGTAGTTTTCACTTTAACAGCTCCTTTTACCATTTTAGTTCAGTGGAGATTGGAAATTCTAGGGTCGTATTACATAACATCACAAGGAGGAACACGGTGTTTTCTGTTTTGAAGAAGAACTCGGCATAAATCTGCAGGTCTGTGTGTTGAACGTGTGTGAGTGAAACAAAACACAACTCCAGGTCTGTTTGTGATGAGGAAACGTAATATTTTAAACGCTGATCCTAACAGAAGTGCAGGTCGGTGCCGGTCAGACGTAAACACGGGTGGAGGCTGTAATTGATGGAGAGGATTTGAGCTACAGTCATTTTGGGTCAGGTGTGTGGAAAGAAATAATAAAGAAAGCCAGACTTATGTACTTAACCCAGGGTTCCCGTGGTCATGGAAAAGTCATGAAAATTGAAAATGTCATTTTCCAGGCTTGGAAAAGTCATGGAATTTTGTCTCATTCCTACAACTACAGCGTTCTGTTAAGTTCTCGTTAGACTATTATGATTACCGTATTTTCCGGGTTATTAGACACGCTCGTAAGCCTCTAACCGTATCAAAAAACAACCGCGCGCCGCAATCCAGAGCGCCCCATACACGAATCCACTCAGGTGTCCCAGCACGACTTAAGTAAACTACAAAGCCACAAACACACACGGAGCAGACGGCGACCGCACAGCGAAAAACACCCACAGACGCACTCGTCACTCCACGCCGACGAGGAACGGAACGAAGGAACGAACCGAAAAAGCGAGTGCAATGTGTCGCTTCTAGACACGACTGAACAAAGCCCAGAGTCACTGTGAACATGACAAACAAACAAAACCACTCACCCATCACACTGTTGTGTTTCCTTTAAAGTCTGGTGTGGTTTATTTGTGAAAAAAGTTTGAAAAAAGACCATTTAATGACAGTGCGCCTTATAATCCAGAGCGACTAATAACCTGGAAAATGCGGTATTTCTGAACGTTTGCGCCTTTTGTTTAAAAGAGACGACAATAAATGCACTGACAGGATTTGGAACATTAAAAAACTATAATCCCAAACCATAAAGTGAGTGGAAAGAGTTCACATTTCATATTTAGCCCTAAAAGTCTGATCAATTCTACACATGTAGGTGCCGTAAACTCATGGAAAATTCACTTTAGGTCATTAAAAAGTCATGGAAAATTTTGGAAATTTTGTCAGTGACAAAGAGTGGGAACCCTGTTAACCCGAGTTCATGGAGTTGACTAACATGTCTCCAGTTTTGTAGTTTAGACTCTTTCAGTGCTTCTTGCAGTGATGGGAATATTTTGAAAATGTTTTTAGTTACAGAATTTTGTGTTTTGTAACGTGTTCTGATACATGGTCCAGTCTAGTACTGTACTCTGAATACTTGGAATTGAGTTGCATTTAAACTACAGTATAAAGATGCAACATTAATGCAAATATTAAAAGAAGCTTTATATTTGTTTCTCTGTTTTTGAAGTATTCCTTATCACTGACTGAAGAAAAGTCACACTGTAGAGTTGGGTATCATCAAGGCGTTGTCAATATAAACCACTTCTGAAACACAAACATTTTAATCAGCAAAACACTAAAAATGTCAAATTTGTTGCATAAACGAGTTTCCTTCCTCTAAACAAGCAACAAAACTGTAGCTGTAACAAAATAATTGAGTAAAATATACCAAAAAATACTCTTGGCGATATATCGATACAGCAGCCCACAATATCGATACTGTATCATCACATTAAACAATATGATATATCGATATTTCGTTATTTTTTCACACCCTACACACATGCACTCACCACAGAGTTTTCTTTTTGTTTCACTGATTCGCTGCAGTTTGAAGCCTAAATTACGTGATCAAATATTGTAATTTGAGTTTTAGAAAAGTAACTATACTGTGTAATATGTAAACTGTTTAATCAATTAAAAAATGAACTGTACCAGAATAGAATTACTCAAAATTAGCATTCTGAATACATATTCTCAGTACATTTATTACTTCCAAACACTGTGTTCTTGTGAGGAAATACAAACAAAATATAAACCCTCGAGGTTGGGTCAAATGTAGAGCACAGTGTGGGTCAGATGTGGGTCAGACGGGTTTCATTTTGGGGATAATAAAGTGACGTTTTCTTGGGATTTGACTCGTTCTTGGTGTAAACTCAGAGCCGTGAGCCTGACGCCGTGACTCTCTCTCCAGCCTTACCGTCTCAGAGCGGACGAGTCGCCATCGTCACCGGGGCAACCAGAGGAATGGGCCTGGAGACCGCCCGGCAACTGCACCGCCTCGGCATGCATGTCATCATAGGTACGAACGGGCCAATGAGAGACTTTGATCTGGCCAATCACCAAGCAGAATGGTTTAAAACTAACCAATCACAGAGCAGAATGGTTTTAAACTGACCAATCACACAGCAGAACAATGTAAACTAACCAATCACAGAGCAGAATGGTTTAAAACTGACCAATCACACAGCAGAACGATTTAAAACTGACCAATCACAGAGCAGAATGGTTTTAAACTGACCAATCACAAGGCAGAATGGTTTTAAACTGACCAATCACAGAGAGGAATGGTTTTAAATTTACAAATTACACAGCAGAACGGTTTAAAGTTGACCAGTCATAGAGCACAATGATTTAAACTGACCAATCACAGAGCAGAACGGTTTTAAACTGACCAATCACAGAGAGGAATGGTTTTAAATTTACAAATTACACAGCAGAACGGTTTAAAGTTGACCAGTCATAGAGCACAATGATTTAAACTGACCAATCACAGAGCAGAACGGTTTAAAATGACCAATCAGGGAGAAAGTCCAATTAAAACTAACTAACCAGAAAACAGAAAAAGTTGTGGTATGTTCATGTTACACTTTCAGGGCTCGGTATTCAAATGGTCACAAGTGAAATTTTTGGCAAATTTTCAAAAACTTACAATATAAATTTGTGATTTAAGGTGCAGTATTTAACTTTTTGGAGGTGGCACCTGCATTTCCATGGACATTTAAGTTAAAAGGTATAAAGTATATATGAAGTATATATTTTATACTTTATATGTACCTTCTACCTGTGTGTGGAGATGCAAGACTGTTTTTCAGTGCAATAAACAACCAAAAACTGCTTTTAATTTACTCTCGGTTTCTCATTTTTATTTTATTTTTTTTATTTTTGGCTAATACTTACAGTGGTTTTAAAGAAATTGTAATTTTTTTTAACTTTTAGTTTTTAATATGAAAGTAAATCACAATTGTAGCTCAAACCTTTAAAAATATATTTTATTAGTTTTGCTTCTAGAAATTTCACTTGCACCATTTTCATTCAGAGCCCTCAATTTATATGTATAATTATTGTATTTTTACCTCCTTGCTTTTCATGTTACTCTAATTTTGACTTAGTTTGGTGAGATAGTATCTGGTCAATATTTATCACAGTTTTACATCAGTGAAGTGTAAAAAACTCGAAAACAAATGTACAAATATACAGGAAGTAGCGCAGAGTTGTAAAACAGAATCCCAGTCACCAACACAAACTCCATCCAAAAGAGTTTAAACCTTCATTTAAACTAAATAAAACTGTTATCATTTATTTGTATTTGTCTAATCAGAACTATTATTGAATTTAGACAGATTTTGGTCTTGTTAACGTTACAGTTCGTAGGTAACAGAGTTTTATTGTTGCTGAAATCTGACAGTTGGAAATGAGAGAGAAGAAGGACAAGAGGTCGTGAAGAAACTCAACGCAGAGAATCACAACGGAGGAAAAGGTGAAACTGAAACATACAAGAATTAATTTAAACTCTAATATCTTTATAATTCTCTTGGAAATTTCTCATAAAAATACCAAAGTCAAATCCATAAATGTTTAGTGGTTCGTTTTGTTAAATTAGTATAAAAATATTTCTTATTGTCTGTGTAATAAACAATAATGGTCTTTGGACGCCATCTAGTGGACGAAAAGCAGAACTACAAATGTGATAAATTTGATAAAACTGTTCAGATTTTGGTCAAAATGTAAAAGGGTTTTGTTTAATCGAAGTTATTTTCAAATAAAGTGGTAAAATAATTAAATATTTTTGTTTTTAGCCGAGTTTATTTTCTTGGATCTGACGTCGCTGAAGTCGATTCGACAGTTTGTCCAAAACTTTAAACAGAGACGCCTCCCCCTGCACGTGCTCGTCAACAACGGTAAAGACCAGACCACGTTTAGACCTGGTTTAGTCCTGCTTTAGTCCTGGTTTAGACCTGGTTTAGACCTGGTTTAGTCCTGGTTTAGTCCTGCTTTAGTCCTGCTTTAGTCCTGGTTTTAGTCTTGGTTTAATCCTGCTTTAGATGTGCTTTAGTCCTGGTTTTAGTCTTGGTTTAGACCTGGTTTAGATCTGGTTTAGACCTGGTTTCAGTCTTGGGTTTAGTCCTGGTTTAGTCTTTGTTTATTGGGGGTTGAGACCTGGTTTTATTCTTGTTTTTAATCTGGGTCTCAGTCTTGATTTTAGTCTTGGTTTAAATCCTGGTTTAGTTCTAGGTTTAGTCTATGATTAGGACTATATAAGGACTAAATCAGGACAAATTTCAAACTAGTTTAGCCCTGGTTTTAGTCTTTGTTTTAGTCTTTGTTTAGTCCTGGTTTTGAACTGGTTCTGCTTTTAGACTACACTTTATTTTAAACCAGGATCACACCAGGTCTAGACTAGGACCAAACCAAGACTGAATTTGGACTAAACCTGTATTTAATCTGGACTAAATCTGTACTAGTATAACAGGACTGTACCAGGACTGGACTAAACCAGGACTAAACCAGGACTGAACCAGGACTGAAACCAGGACTGAACCAGGACTAAACCAGGACTAAAACCAGGACTAACCAGGACTAAACCAGGACTAAACCAGGACTAAACCCAGGACTAAACCCAGGACTAAACCAGGACTAAACTAACCAGACTAAAACCAGGACTAAACCAGGACTAAACCAGACTAAACCAGGACTAAACCAGGACTGAAACCAGGACTAAACCAGGACTAGAAAACCAGGACTAAATCCAGGACTAAACCAGACTGAATCAGGACTAAACCAACTAAAGGACTAAACCAGGACTAAACCAGGACTAAACCAGGACTAAAACCAGGACTGAACCAGGACTAAACCAGGACTAAACCAGGACTGAACCAGGACTAAAACCAGGACTAAAACCAGGACTGAAGCAGGACTAAACCAGGACTGAACCTGGACTAAACCAAGACTAAAACCAGGACTAAACCAGGACTAAACCAAGACTAAAACCAGGACTAAACCAGGACTAAACCAGGACTGAACCAGGACTAAACCAGGACTGAACCAGGACTAAACCAGGACTGAACCAGGACTGAACCAGGACTAAACCAGGACTGAACCAGGACTGATCCAGACCCGTTCTCCTCTTGTAGCCGGTACGATGCTGGTCCCTGAGCGTCGGACAGAAGACGGGTTTGAGTTGCACTTTGGTCTGAATTATCTGAGTCACTTCCTGTTGACGAACCTGCTCCTGGACGTCCTGAAGGATTCTGGGAAATCGGGGCGGTGTGCACGAATCGTCAACATGTCGTCGGCGACGCACTACAGCGGAGTCCTCAAGATGGACGACCTCAACCGGAGGTACAAGCACAGTCCACGGTCTGGTCCTGGTCTAAAGGCCCCCGGTTTAGTCCTGGTTTAGTCCTGGTTTAATCCCTGGTTTAGTCCATAGTTTGGTTCTACTTTAGTCCTGTCTTAGTTCTGGTTTAGTTCAGGTTTTCAGTCCTGGTTTGAGCCCTGTTTTGAACCCTAGTCTAGTCCTGTTTCAGTCCTGCTTTAGTCCCTAGTTCAGTCCTGGTTCAGTCCTGGTTTAGTCCTTGTTTAGTCCTTGGTTTAGTCTTGGTTTAGTCCTGATTTAGTCTTGGTTTAGTCCTGGATTAGTCCTCGGTTCAGTCCTTGGTTTAGTCCCTGGTTTAGTCCTTGGTTTAGTCCTGGTTCAGTCCTTGTTTCAGTCCTTGATTTAGTCCTCCTTTAGTCCCTGGTTCAGTCCTGGTTTAGTTTAGTCCTGGTTTAGTCCTTGGTTTAGTCCTTGGTTTAGTCCTGATTTAGTCCTGGTTTAGTCCCTGGTTCAGTCCTGATTTAGTCCTGGATTAGTCCTCGGTTCAGTCCTTGGTTTAGTCCTGATTTAGTCCTGGTTTAGTCCTGGTTCAGTCCTGGTTTCAGCCCTTGTTTCAGTCCTTGTTTTAGTCCTCCTTTAGTCCTTGTTTTAGTCCTCCTTTAGTCCCTGGTTTAATCCTTGGTTTAGTCCTGGTTCAGTCCTTGGTTTAGTCCTCCTTAAGTCCCTGGTTTAGTCCCTGGTTTAGTCCCTGCTTTAGTCCGGTTTTAGTCCTAGTTCAGTCCTCCTGTAGTCCTTGGTTCAATCCTTGTTCAGTCCCTGTTTTAGTCCTCCTTTAGTCTTGGTTTAGTCCTACTTTAGTCCTCCTTTAGTCCCTGTTTGAGTCCTAGTTTTAGTCCTCCTTTAGTCCTTGTTTCGGTCTTCCTTTAATCCTCGTTTGAGTCCTTGTTTGAGTCCTTGTTTTAGTCCTCTTTTAGTCCTTGTTTTAGTCCTCCTTTAGTCCTTGTTTCGGTCCTTGTTTTAGTCCTCCTTTAGTCCTTGTTTCGGTCCTTGTTTTAGTCCTTGTTCCTTGTTTTAGTCCTCCTTTAGTCCTTGTTTCGGTCCTTGTTTTAGTCCTTCTTTAGTCCTTGTTTCGGTCCTCCTTTAGTCCTTGTTTCGTCCTCCTTTAGTCCTTGTTTCAGTCCTCCTTTAGTCCTTGTTTCGGTCCTCCTTTAGTCCTTGTTTCAGTCCTCCTTTAGTCCTTGTTTTAGTCCTCCTTTAGTCCTTGTTTTAGTCCTCCTTTAGTCCTTGTTTGAGTCCTTGTTTTAGTCCTCCTTTAGTCCTTGTTTCGGTCCTCCTTTAGTCCTTGTTTGAGTCCTCCTTTAGTCCTTGTTTTAGTCCTCCTTTAGTCCTTGTTTCGGTCCTCCTTTAGTCCTTGTTTAGTCCTTGTTTTAGTCCTCCTTTAGTCCTTGTTTCGGTCCTCCTTTAGTCCTTGTTTTAGTCCTCCCTTTAGTCCTTGTTTTAGTCCTCCTTTAGTCCTTTTAGTCCTTGTTTTAGTCCTCCTTTAGTCCTTGTTTTAGTCCTTCCTTTTTAGTCCTTGTTTTAGTCCTCCTTTTAGTCCTTGTTTTAGTCCTCCTTTAGTCCTTGTTTCAGTCCTCCTTTAGTCCTTGTTTGAGTCCTTGTTTTAGTCCTCCTTTAGTCCTTGTTTCAGTCCTTGTTTTAGTCCTCTTTAGTCCTTGTTTTAGTCCTCCTTTAGTCCTTGTTTTAGTCCTCCTTTAGTCCTTGTTTGTCCTCCTTTGTTTAGTCCTTTTTAGTCCTTGTTTTAGTCCTCCTTTAGTCCTTGTTTCGGTCCTCCTTTAGTCCTTGTTTGAGTCCTTGTTTTAGTCCTCCTTTAGTCCTTGTTTGAGTCCTTGTTTTAGTCCTCCTTTAGTCCTTGTTTCGGTCCTCCTTTAGTCCTTGTTTTAGTCCTCCTTTAGTCCTTGTTTCGGTCCTCCTTTAGTCCTTTTTTCGGTCCTCCTTTAGTCCTTGTTTTAGTCCTCCTTTAGTCCTTGTTTCGGTCCTCCCTTTAGTCCTTGTTTTAGTCCTCCTTTAGTCCTTGTTTCGGTCCTCCTTTTTAGTCCTTGTTTTAGTCCTCCTTTAGTCCTTGTTTTAGTCCTCCTTTAGTCCTTGTTTAGTCCTCCTTTAGTCCTTGTGTCCTTGTTTAGTCCTCCTTTAGTCCTGGTTTCGGTCCTTGTTTTAGTCCTCCTTTAGTCCCTGTTTGAGTCCTTGTTTTAGTCCTCCTTTAGTCCTGGTTTAGTCCTCCTTTAGTCCCTGTTTGAGTCCTGTTCCGGTCTCTTCCTCAGGTCCTGTTACAGTTCTCATGGAGCGTACGCTCAGTCCAAACTGGCGCTGGTCCTGTTCACGTACGTCCTGCAGGAGCGGCTGGGGTCGGGCGGGGCTCAGGTGTCGGTCAACGTCGTGGACCCGGGGATGGTCGACACGGCGCTTTACAACAACCTCTGGACTTTAGCGCAGATGCTCAAGAAACCAGTGGCCAAACTGATCTTCAGGGTAAAAACTGAGACTACGAGACATGTAGACCTGGTGTAGACCTGGTGTAGACCTGGTGTAGACCTGGTGTAGTCCTAGTTTAGACCTGGAGTAGACCTGGTGTAGACCTGGTGTAGACCTGTCCTGGTGTAGACCTGGTGTAGACCTGGTGTAGTCCTGGTGTAGTCCTGGTGTAGACCTGGTGTAGACCTGGTGTAGACCTGGTGTAGACCTGGTGTAGACCTGGTGTAGTCCTAGTTTAGACCTGGTGTAGACCTGGTGTAGTCCTAGTTTAGACCTGGAGTAGACCTGGTGTAGTCCTGGTGTAGTCCTGGTGTAGTCCTGGTGTAGTCCTGTGTAGACCTGGTGTAGACCTGGTGTAGTCCTGGTGTAGACCTGGTGTAGACCTGGTGTAGTCCTGGTGTAGTCCTAGTTTAGACCTGGTGTAGTCCTGGTGTAGTCCTGGTGTAGACCTAGTTTAGACCTGGTGTAGACCTGGTGTAGTTCTAGTTTAGATCCGGTGTAGTCCTGGTGTAGACCTGGTGTAGACCTGGTGTAGACCTGGTGTAGACCTGGTGTAGACCTGGTGTAGTCCTAGTTTAGACCTGGTGTAGTCCTGGTGTAGTCCTAGTTTAGACCTGGTGTAGTCCTGTGTAGACCTGGTGTAGTCCAAGTTTAGACCTGGTGTAGTCCTGGTGTAGTTCTAGTTTAGATCCGGTGTAGTCCTGGTGTAGACCCGGTGTAGACCTAGTTTAGACCTGGTGTAGACCTGGTGTAGTCCTAGTTTAGACCTGGTGTAGTCCTGGTGTAGTCCTAGTTTAGACCTGGTGTAGTCCTAGTTTAGACCTGGTGTAGACCTGGTGTAGACCTAGTTTAGACCTGGTGTAGTCCTAGTTTAGACCTGGTGTAGACCTGGTGTAGTCCTGGTTTAGACCTGGTGTAGACCTAGTTTAGACCTGGTGTAGTCCTAGTTTAGACCCGGTGTAGTCCTAGTTTAGACCCGGTGTAGTCCTAGTTTAGACCTGTGTAGTCCTAGTTTAGACCCGGTGTAGTCCTAGTTTAGACCTGGTGTAGTCCTAGTTTAGACCTGGTGTAGTCCTGGTGTAGACCTGGTGTAGTCCTGGTGTAGGCCTAGTTTTAGACCTGGTGTGTAGTCCTAGTTTAGACCTGGTGTAGTCCTAGTTTAGACCCGGTGTAGTCCTAGTTTAGACCCGGTGTAGTCCTAGTTTAGACCCGGTGTAGTCCTAGTTTAGACCTGGTGTAGTCCTAGTTTAGACCTGGTGTAGTCCTAGTTTAGACCTGGTGTAGACCTGTGTAGTCCTGGTGTAGACCTGGTGTAGACCTGGTGTAGTCCTCGTTTAGACCTGGTGTAGTCCTAGTTTAGACCCGGTGTAGTCCTAGTTTAGACCCGGTGTAGTCCTAGTTTAGACCCGGTGTAGTCCTAGTTTAGACCCGGTGTAGTCCTAGTTTAGACCTGGTGTAGACCCGGTGTAGTCCTGGTGTAGACCTGGTGTAGACCTGGTGTAGTCCTCGTTTAGACCTGGTGTAGTCCTAGTTTAGACCTGGTGTAGTCCTGGTGTAGTCCTCGTTTAGACCTGGTGTAGTCCTGGTGTAGACCTGGTTTAGACCTGGTGTAGACCTGGTTTAGATTTAGTATAGTCCTGGTTTAGACCTAGATTAGACCTGGTTTCAATCTGGTTTAGACCTGATATAGACCTAGTTTAGACCTTGTGTAGTCCTGGTTTGGACCTAATTTAGATTTAGTATAGTTCTGGTTAAAGCCTAGTTTAGACCTGGTTTAGACCTGGTTTAGACTTAGTTTAGACCTGATTTAGACCTAGTTTAGTACTGGTTTCATACAGATTAAGTCCTGCTTCGGTCCCAGTTTGGTCCTGGTTTAGTCCTTGTAGAGTCCTGATTGAGTCCTGATTGAGTCCTGATTTAGTCCTGGTTTAGTCCTGGTTCAGTTCTGGTTCAGTCCTGGTTTATTTTAATGAAAAATAAAGACACTTGAAATACAGACTCTCACATAAAACTGTCATACCTGCAGACTCCAGCAGAGGGCGCCTCCACCGCCGTATTCGCCGCGGTCTCGTCGCAGATGGAGGGAGTGGGCGGAGTTTATCTTTACAACGGCGAAAAAACGCGATCGTCCGAAATCTCGTACGACTCCGATCTCCAGGTCCGACTGTGGAAGACGAGCTGCCGACTGGTGGGACTCAGTGAAGATACTACAGGAAAAATATGAACGAAAGTACTTTTGATGGTACTACTACAACGTGTGGTACTAAATACTGCAGTACTTTACAGTTTTATACCAAACACCTGAAATTATGACAATCACAACTCTAGAAAACGTCCGAATCATCAGGGTTTTATAAAGAATGTGGAGAAGAATCGTCCGTTTTGTGCCTTTCGACTTTTTCACTGTTGATTTAGTTTTTTAATTATTTTTTATTTTCACTAAATAAGAACAAGAAAAACAATTTGTGCCTAAAGTTAAAGACTTGATGAGTTTTTTATTCAGTGGTTCATTCTGATCTGGTTTAGACCTGGTTTAGTCCTGGTTTGATCCTAGTTTGAGCCTAATTTGATCCTGACTCCAGACCCGATTTAGACCTGGTTTTGTCCAAGTTTAGTCCTTGGTTTAGACCTGGCTACATCCTGGTCTAGTCCTGACTCCAGACCTGGATTAGTCCTGGTTTAGTCCTGGTTTAGACCTGGTTTAGACCTGGTTTAGACCTGGTTTAGTCCTGGTTTAGACCTGGTTTAGTCTTGATTTAGACCTGGTTTAGTCCTGGTTTAAGTCCTGACTCAGACCTGGTTTAGTCCTGACTCGGATTTGGTTTAATCCTGGATTAGACCTGGTTTAGTCCTGGATTAAATCTGGTTTAGTCCTGTTTTAGTCCTGACTCTAGTCCTGGTTTAGACCTGGTTTAGACCTGGTTTAGACCTGGTTTAGTCCTGGTTTAGTCCTGGTTTAGTCCTGACGCTAGTCCTGGTTTAGTCCTGGTTTAGACCTCCTGGTTTAGTCCTGGTTTAGTCCTGGTTTAGACCTGGTTTAGTCCTGGTTTAGTCCTGGTTCCTGGTTTAGACCTGGTTTAGACCTGGTTTAGTCCTGGTTTAGTCCTGGTTTAGTCCTGGTTTAGTCCTGGTTTAGACCTGGTTTAGTCCTGGTTTAGTCCTGACTCTAGTCCTGGTTTAGACCTGGTTTAGACCTGGTTTAGTCCTGGTTTAGTCCTGGTTTAGACCTGGTTTAGACCTGGTTTAGTCCTGGTTTAGTCCTGGTTTAGTCCTGGTTTAGTCCTGGTTTACTTACAGCTCAGATTACACATTTCAGACGCTGGAATGTCACTAAAAAAGGTGCTAAAATAAAATAAAATTTCTGAATTTCAAACATGAATTGTAAAATTTTTTTTTTTTTTTTTTTGTTCAGCCAAAATCCTGTGCCTTGTTTCTTTTAACGACAGTATTAAGATATTTAAGTTTTAATCTCTTTATTTAACTTTTGTACTTTTGTGTTTATCGTCCAAACTCTTTTCAGTCAATTATTTTGTACATTTGTTTTTCCAAATATTTGTTTTTCCAACGAACTGAATCAATGTCACACGACAAGAATGTGAAAGAATCAATGTTTGTTTAAATTTAAGCTTTTATTATAATTTTGAGTTTCACAGCAAGTGTACTTATATATTTTATTTTCAATCTTGAATCCTACTGTTTCTGCGACTACTACTACTACTACTACTACTACTACTACTACTACTAGAACTACTACTACTACTACTACTACTACTACTGAACTACTACTACTACTACTACTACTACTACTACTAGAACTACTACTACTACTACTACTACTACTACTAGAACTACTACTACTACTACTACTACTAGAACTACTACTACTACTACTACTACTACTACTACTACTGAACTACTACTACTACTACTACTACTACTACTACTAGAACTACTACTACTACTACTACTACTACTACTACTACTGAACTACTACTACTACTACTACTAGAACTACTACTACTACTACTACTACTACTACTACTACTACTAGACTACTACTACTACTACTACTAGAACTACTACTACTACTACTACTACTACTACTACTACTAGAACTACTACTACTACTAGAACTACTACTACTACTACTACTACTACTACTACTACTACTACTACTACTACTACTACTACTACTACTAGAACTACTACTACTACTACTACTACTAGAAACTACTACTACTACTACTACTAGAACTACTACTACTACTACTACTACTACTACTACTACTACTAGACTACTACTACTACTACTAGAACTACTACTACTACTACTACTACTACTACTACTACTACTACTACTACTAGAACTACTACTACTAGAACTACTACTACTAGAACTACTACTACTACTACTACTACTACTACTACTACTACTACTACTACTATAGAACTACTACTACTACTACTACTACTACTACTACTACTACTACTACTACTACTACTACTACTACTACTACTACTACTACTACTACTACTACTACTACTACTTCTACTACTACTACTACTACTACTACTGCTACTACTACTACTACTAGAACTGCTACTACTACTACTACTACTACTACTACTACTACTACTACTACTACTACTATAACTTCTACTACTACTACTACTATAACTTCTACTACTACTACTACTTACTACTATTACTACTACTACTACTACTACTACTACTACTACTACTACTACTATTATAACTATTACTACTACTACTATTATAACTTCTACTACTACTACTACTATAACTTCTACTACTACTACTACTATAACTATTACTACTGCTACTACTACTACTATTACTGCTACTACTACTACTGTTATTACTACTGCCACTGCTACTGCTATTACTACTTCTACTATTCCTACTGCTACTGCTGCTATTCTAAGTATAAACCTGAACTGATTATTACATATTAAACATATTTTACTGAGTTTTTTTTTTTTTTATGTTTATCGTGTCGTGGAGTTTTGTGTTTCCAGTTTGTTTTGAAAAAAGATTCAAGATTTCAACCAAAACAATAAAACTCAAATACAAACCTTTATTTTTTTTGTGTGTGTGTGCGTTTCTTTATTTCATTAAAATCCTGACAGTGTTCTGACCGTCACAGGGCCGCCTCTCCACAGACCTCACCTGTAACCTGCCAAGTCTCCATAGAGATAGAGAAGTCTCCGTTTGTGATGAGTTCGGTCGACTGTTGTGTTCTCACATTTCACCACTAGATGGAGTCGACGTCAAAGTCTGCTCCAGTTTAGTTTGAGTTTATTTCAGTCACAGAGGAGAAAATTAGTTCAATATTTTTTTGTCACACTGGAGGTTCTTTGTTCAGTTCTCTGTGGTTCAGGAGGAAAAGTCTCAGGTTTGTTCTCCGGACGTTCCTGGTTCAATTCCTTCTTCATGATGTTCAGATGTTATTTTCGAATGTTCAAGAATATGAGTAGAAGTAAAGTCTGGGATTTGAACCTACACCCTCAGGTCAGGAGAGATCTGTGTTTGTGTTTGTTTCTCCTGGACCATGCAGCCACATGGGGTCGAGTCCTGTTCAGAGACTTTGAAGAGTTTTTAGAGTTTAAATTGAAGTTTTTCTGATGCGTTTGAAGAGTTTTCTTGAGTTCCCCGTGGCTCAGGAGGTTCGAGCGCTCGTCTGTTAAAGTCTCAGGTTTGGTTCAGAGGTTTCAGGATCGATTCTTGCTCCCACCGACTCTGGAGGGAAGAAATCTAGACTTAAGTGAAGAAAGTTTTGACATAAAGACACAGGTGGAGCTCTGAAGGGGTTGTGGGACAGTGGAGGAGCAGGGAGAGCGTCCACCACAACATAGGGACACGCTGGAACCTGGAGGTCTCGGGTTCAAGACCAGCTCTCTGGACCAGGTCTGACTTTCTTAAATTGAGACTTTTTAAAAACTGAGACTTTTTTAAAATTGAGACTTTTAAACAGACTTTTTTTTAAACTGAGACTTTTTAAAACTGAGACTTTTTAAAACTGAGACTTTTTAAAACTGAGACTTTTTAAAACTGAGACTTTTTAAAATTGAGACTTTTTAAACTGAGACTTTTAAACAGACTTTTTTTTAAACTGAGACTTTTTAAACTGAGACTTTTTAAAAGACTTTTAAAATTGAGACTTTTTAAAATTGAGACTTTTTAAAACTGAGACTTTTTAAAATTGAGACTTTTTAAAACAGACTTTTTTTTTTAAAACTGAGACTTTTTAAAACAGACTTTTTTAAACTGAGACTTTTTAAAATTGAGACTTTAAAATTGAGACTTTTTAAAATTGAGACTTTTTAAAACTGAGACTTTTAAACAAAAATAAGGAAACATAGAGACTCAACAGCCCAATATCGGACGACAAGTTTGAACTCACAATCTCTGTGTTTAAAGTCTCTGTTCTTAACCTCTGGACCACACAGACACACACACACACACACACACACACACACATCACTGTCTCATGTTCTGGTTATTTTAGAGTTGGATCATCGTGGTATTGGGTCACATTTATTTTTTATTTCACATTTGAAGTTCGCTGTTCAGTTCTCCGTGGCTCAGGAGGTCGAGCACTTGGTTGGTGAACTCTCAGGACTCTTCCAGGTTTGATTCCTTCCTCGAACCATCCGTCGATTTGGTGCCAATTTCTGAAATGAACTTATGTGTCATCAAATTATAACTTTATTCAGAATAGAGAAACTGTTTAAAATTCACAATGAAGCGAAAGCCCAGGATTCGAACCCAGACTCTCAAGTCCAGGGAGATCTTCCACACGGAGCTTCAACCTCTGGACCACATCTCCTCGTCACTTAGTTTTTGGAGCCGCTGGGACCTGGATTAGAGTGATAATAAGACTCCTGAAATGTCTTGCTTTTTTTCTAAGTATTTGTCATTCAGGGCTCTTCGCGTCACAGAGATTTGAACTCACAACCTCTGTTTTTAAAGTTCCTAAGTCTTAACCTCAGGACCACACATAGACCATAGAATCTCATCACTATTACAGTTAAATTAATGGGGTTCTGTGTCAGATTATTGTTTTTATTTCACATTTGGAGCCTCTCACTCGGTTCATCGTGACTTCCAAGTTTCTGGTCTGTGGTCCTGACTTCCTGAGGTTGCTGGTTCAATTCCTACTTCAACACGGAGGTCCTGGTTTTTGAAGTAAACGCACGAAGGACGTTACTCCCCGTTTTAACTGTATTCGCTTCTTTACTTTGCACTTTAATCCGGACTCCAGACGGCACCGAGTCTTTCGAGACCCGGAGCCCCCTGGTGGACACGGAGCGGAACACACGACGGTAAAAGTGTCAGGCCTAAGAGCAGGAGGTCGCCGGCTCGATTCCTCCTCTGACGAATGAATTCTGACAAAAATAAATAAAAGTTTTTAACCCGTCGCTGCACTTTTGTAGTTTCTTATCATGCGAACAGGTGTAGTTAAAGCTGCACTACGTAACTTTTCTCGTAGAATCCACCGACTGCTTGTCTGGAGATGTTCCGCAGTAAAGCTTTAAACATATCTATCCTGCGTTCATCCAATTACAGATGTTAATTTCACTCAAAAATACTCAGATAAATGTATTTTTACAGAGAGTGGGCTCGCCTTTCCGCAGACCTGACCCGTAACTTGGCCTGGTAGCGTCGCCTGTTTGTCTCCATGGAAACAGGAAAATGAAATGCACCAGCAGATCTGCTTTTTTTTCTCGCGTATAAATAAAGACACACAGACTTTGAACACTTAAAATCAAATATATGTTTTTAAAAATCAACATAACAAAAGAACAACGTCTCATTTTGAAGTTGTCATTTGCAGATTTCATTTACACAGGACTTAAAATTTTTCGCTTCGGTTCGGATCGATCCCACGTCGTCGTCGCCATTGCCGCCGCCGATGTCGCAAAATCCAGCTCGAATATTCACGTTTAATGTTTTATACCAACAAACTCTTAAGGGCAGCAGTGACATGGGACCGATCCACTGCAAAAACATGTTTAACAGACTTGAGAATCGGGATTTGACGAGTTTTGACTTTTATTTTTTACGTATTTTTTAATTATTGACGGCATTTGACCCGTCCTTCAGTGTCTCCGGGTTAAACTTGTACTTTAGTCGGACGATTAGACTCTTGACCGTGCGTGTTTTGGGTCAATAAGGGAAACCAGACGTAAACTCACACAGAAACATCAAATTTTTTTTTTAGAAATTGAACCAGGGACCAAACCGAATGCACGTTTTCTATAATATCTACGTACGCAACTATTAAGTCCGTGTACCGTTTGTTTGTTTGAATTTCAAGAACGAAAAACAATAAAATGGGTTTGTTATTTAATTTTTCCGTTTTAGTGTCACACAAAAAAACAAAAAAAAAACAGATTTCAACCTCTATTTCTAATGTTTAATTTAAAGGTTTGATAAAAATGTGGATATTTTATTCTCTCTGGTTTATTTGCCCCGGACGTTCTGCTGCAGAGTCGACCCTGGATCTGTACTAAAACATATTTTCATTCTAGTTCTCTCCGAACTTTCTAAAACGTGACGCTTCACTACTGTGTTTGTTCACGAAACTGCAACGATTGTTTCAGGTTAAGTCCTTCTAACGGGGGCAAATAAACCAGAGAGAATAAAATATCCAAATTGAAATAGACACCGAGACTGGTTTTGAAATATTTGGTGAAATAAACTTTAAATTAAATATTGAAAATAGAAGTGTTAATCTGTTTTTTTGTTTGACACTAAAACGTAAAAATGAAATAAACAGTTTTTTCGTTTTTCGTTGAAATTCAAAAGAGCGAACGGTACACGGACTCAAAAAATCACAAAGTCTGTCGTTTTAAAAGCAGACATATTGTGCTTTTTAGTTATAATCTGACACCAGTGGATCATTCTGTTAAAATTTGGACATTTTAAATCACAATATTCATCTAGAACGACTTAATAAACCAAAAAAGTCCACTGATTTTACTACAGATTAACCGAATAAAATGGAATCTGACGGAATTTGGACCAAACGACGACGCGACGCTGCTGAATTTTCCGCGTATCACGGATCACGAAAATAAAACTCGAGAACGAAGCGCGTACGTCGTTCCGTCGAGGCGAAAACGAGGGTCGATCGGCAAAACGGCGTCTTGAAAATAAAACACAAATCTCTCCAAATACAACTTGAGGAAACACGGCGAAAAGTCCATTTTGGAGAAGAGATTTGCGTTAATACAGCTTTAAAGGCTCACTGTGTAACTTTTCGGGTTGGGGGTTTCCATGGATACGCCGTCGCTTTGCCTGGAATGTTCCGCAGTGTGACTTTAAACACGTCTACTTCGCGTTTATTCAATTGCAGGTGGTTTTATAGCTGAAAAACGCCTCGAAAAACACATTTCTTCGCCGATCTGACGTTTAATTTGACCCGGTTTGGTCTCCGTGACGATAAGAACGTCTAATGCCGCGCTGAGAAACATTCCGGACGAATTCAGAACGACCGAAACGCGGATGTCCAAGTCAAAACTCTCGTCAAAACGGTTCAACTCAAGCCGTTGTTTGTGGATTTTTTGCAGCGACCGAAGCGGGTTTCACACACTGAGCTCTTTTTAAGTTTCGTATTTTACATTGGCTCTGAACTTTTAAGACACCAGATAAACATACACAGGAGAGATCGTCGCCCTCCGTCCGAAACAATACTCACTTTGTACAAACAACAGGAAAACAGTGGCTCTACGGTTTAGCGTGTCCAGCCCTCCTATTCAAAAACACTACACGGTTTACCAATCGCAAACGGCGCCTCACACGGAGTTCAGACGCAAAAATGTAGAGTTTGTGAGCGAAAAAGTTACGAAAATGAGTTGATTTCACTTTCAGAGAACAATAAAAACTAAAACAAGACTAAACCAGGTCTAAATCAGGACTTGACTCGTCTAAACCAAGTCCCAAAAGTGTCATTTATTACATTTTATTGGTATAAGCTGTAACAAAAATGCATTGATTGTACCGAGACTAAATCCAGACAAATACAGGACTAAACCAGGACTAAACCAGACTTACTTGGGTCTAAACCAAGGCTAGTCCCCCAAAAGTTGTCGACATGTGAGATATTCAGGTTTCACAGCACCACAGAGGCCAAACTAAGATCTAAACCAGGTCTAAACCGGGTCTAAAACCAGACTTAATCGAGACTGATCCAGGACTCAACCTAAAATGTGTTTGTATCGTAATATATTTTGATTTTAACGTACCGTAAGAACCAGGTCTAAATCAGCCCAAACCAGACTAAACTGGGACTGGACTAAACCAGGAATAATCCCCAAAACATGGATGATAAAAGTGATAAGCACCAAGAGTACCACCAGAACTAGACCAGGACTAAACCAGGTCTAGTGCCAGAAACATGTACCATTGAATAAGTACTGAGAGTGTATTATAATATATTACTGTGAGATATTTATCTTCTGTACCATCAGAACTAGACAAAGACTGAACCAGGTCTAAAACCAGACTAGACTGGGGCCTAAACCAGGACTAGTCCCTAACGTCTGTTTGTATTTTCATTGTATTTTAGTGATAAAAGTAGCAACTATTTGGCTTTCAAAGTGTCATCAGGACTAGACCAAGACTAAACCAAGACTAAACCAAGACTAAACCAGGTCTAAACCAGGTCTAAACCAGGTCTAAACTGGGTCTAAAGGTCTATACCAGGTCTAAACCGGGTCTAAACCAGGTCTATACCAGGTCTAAACCGGGTCTAAACCGGGTCTAAACCAGGTCTATACCAGGTCTAAACCAGGTCTAAACCAAGATTAAACCAGGTCTGAACCAGATCTAAACCAGGTCTAAACCAAGATTAAACCAGGTCTAAACCAGGTCTAAACCAGGTCTAAACCAGGGCTAAACCAGGACTAAACCAGGTCTAAACCAGGACTAAACCAGGGCTAAACTGGGTCTAAAACCAGACTAGACTTGAACCTAAATTGGGCCTAAACCAGGACTAGTCCCTAAAGTGGAATTCATTGTATTTTAGTGATAAAAGCAGCTACTATTTGGCTTTCAAAGTGTCATGAGGACTAGACAAAAACTAAACCAGGTCTACACCAGGTCGAGACCAGGTCTAGACCAGGTCTAAACCAGGACTTAATGATTCAACTGATCAAAACTTATTTAAAAACTGATTAAAAAGCAAAAAAGCAAACATTAATATCCAATCTTAAGTTCTCACTCCCCATGATCGCGTCACTTGTGGGAGGGCATCTGACATAAAACACATTTGCAAAGTCGGCACGGGCAGAGCAGAGGTAGATGACTCGCTGAAACACGAACATTTAAACACAAAAGTACCGTTTAAAACCACGTAAAAAAAAAAAAAAGTAGTGTATTTATGATTCTAGCTCCATTTCCAGCTTCTACTTGCGGCTGATTGCGATTGGTAAACCTTTTTATTATTATTATTATTATTATTATTTACTCCGTTGTCCGCACTGCCTTTGAGTCTTTATTTTAAATTCCTTCAGAGTTTTCCGTCGGGAGCCGTTCAGCGATTCCGAAAAGGCATTGACGAGCCGGCAGATGCTGTACACGTGTCCGTTTTGTGCAAACCATCTTGTAAACAAAGCGAAAAAACGAAAACAGGGTACCACAGAACCAACGCAAAAATGTCTAAAAATGTGCTTTTCTTGGTTTTATTTTCGTTTTTTTTTTTTTTTTTTGCATTTTGCCAACACCGCCGCTGCACCTCCGCGTTATGTGCTTCTCTTAAACTTCTCTCGGATTCGTCGCCGGAAGAAAAAAATAAAATAAAAATACGAGGGGACAGTTGTACACATGCTTATATTGCCTTTTTGCTGTTACAATCCTTCGAACTTCACGCTCAAATTAAAAAATACTTACAAAAATGTGTCTACGACTGCTTCTCTCCCTGCTTTTACGGCTATACGCACAACCATACTTATAATTATATATTGTTATGTATAATTTTTATAATATGTACAAGGATCTAGAAGTGGTCTCTCGTCGTGGGAAGAGTTCATCGTTTTGAGCGGGTTTTTGCGGCGTTTTCCGTTCGAGTCGTGGGCTGTCGTCTGGTCGGACCTCCGGGACCGAGGGGGAGAGGGGGGGAGTCGGAGGTCAGTACACCCAGGAGACGGGGACCCACTGCGGGGTGGTGGAGACCAGGTCGACGGCCTCTTCCAGCAGGCGGATGGTCTCGTCGATTTCGTTGTTGATGATGGTTTGGTCGAAGTAGTGGGCGTAGGTTTTCTGGAGCAGCTCGGATTCTTTCTGGAGTCGCTGCAGAGAATCGTCCTGGAAAATAAAAATAAATAAAGAAGTGTACAGATTCAACAAATTACAATTTTCCTGAGTTTAAAGGTTCTATATTACACAAAACTGACTCTTGTGAGCTTCAAGTCGTGTTATAATGTTGTTTCCTTCTCAAAAACAGACCTGGAGTTGAGTTTGAGTAACTACTTTTTTTTTTTTTTTTTTTTTGAGGTCTTGGTCTCATCTTGGACTCGACCTCGTTTGGACTCGGTCTTGTCTCGGTTTTGAAAGCGTTTGGACTCGGTCTTGTCTCGGACTCTGTCTCGTCTCAGACTTGACCTCGTTTGGACTCGGTCTTGTCTCGGACTCGACCTCGTTTGGAGTCGGTCTTGTCTCGGACTCGACCTCGTTTGGACTCGGTCTTGTCTCGGTTTTGAAAGCGTTTGGACTCGGTCTTGTCTCGGACTCGGTCTTGTCTCGGACTCGGTCTCGTCTCGGACTTGACCTCGTTTGGACTTGATCTTGTCTCGGTCTTGAAGGCGTTTGGACTCTGTCTTTCCTCGATCTTGAAGGTGCTTGGACTCGGTCTTGTCTCGGACTCGACCTCATTTGGACTCGGTCTTGTCTCGGTCTTGAAGGTGTTTGGACTCGGTCTTTCCTCGATCTTGAAGGCGTTTGGACTCGGTCTTTCCTCGGTCTTGAAGGCGTTTGGACTCGGTCTTTCCTCGATCTTGAAGGCGTTTGGACTCGGTCTTGTCTCGGTCTTGAGATCTGACACTCGACGAGTGACAAAATAGAGTAATATTTATAAAAACAATTATATAAATGTGCCAGAATAAAAGTAAAATACAAATAAATGTCGAAAATTGCAAAGATGGTCTTGATTTGGTCTCAGTCTTGTCTCGGTCTCGACTCTCAGAGGTCTTGTCCTGGTCTCAGAACCCTGTGGTCTTGGACAGGTCTTGGTCTTGATTAGCGCAGTCTTCACTGCAACACTATTAGTCTGTTTACATCTCCAAAGTTCAAAATGCTCTGTTCCACCTTGTGATGTCATGAATCATTTGTCATCAGCTCCTTTCACCTTCACTTCAGTAGAAATTGACAATTCCAGGGCTGAAATGATCCAAATGATTCTAGTGAAGGTGTGTGGAGTTTAAAAACACAGTGGAGCACTTCCTGTTGTGTGCTTTCAGTTTGAGTTTTGATTCAGCCTAAATCTGCAGGTTTGTGAGTTAAACGTGTGAATGAAACAAAACAAAACACAACTCCAGGTCTGTTTGTGATGAAGAAACAACATTAGAACATAAATCAGACTATAGGACCTTTAAAAAACTCTGTACCTGATTTTTCCCCATGTGTTTGAGTAAAATGAGTCTTACTTTAGTACAGATATTTTGTATAAGCAGCTCTTCAGGTCAAAAAAAGTCTGATTATAAAGCGTTTTATTGTCCAAGAATCAGAACATGAGCCTCTAATTATTGACCTTATTCAGATCCGCACACTTTGGCCGTAAATGTGACTAAACCACACTTTCTTTGTGGTGTAACTAAGCCAGAATTCTGTTTATTTCAATTTAAGGATTTGTTAAAAGTCTCGCCGCTGCACTGGAGTCACTCTTTGAGGTTTTAAAACTTTGAGGCTTTGGGGTCCAGATTGAACTTAAATTTGCAAAGTAATACAACCCAAATGACACAGAAACAGCCAAAATAAGGCGAATAAAGCTTTATTTTGTCAGAGAATCAGGAAGTGCGCAGTCAGCATGCTCGTTGTTGTCGGCAAAACTCCGCTCTGGTGTCTGAAAGCTGAGAAACGCTTTTATAAACTCATCGTGGTGAAGATTTAGATGCTCTGACACTCTGAAGGAATAACTTTGGACCACTGCAAACTGTTTAGAATCTGTTTTTTTTACAAATTTAAGACGGTAAAAATCAGGTACAGAGACTTTAAATGGAAAAAATACGGGGAAGAAAGAAGTAAAGGTGCAAGAAAAGATGATAAAATAGAGTTGGGATTTGGTGAGGAGGGACAAAGCGACTAAATAAACCACGACAGCTCTGAGTTTGTACTTACGGGGAGTTTTCGGCACCATCGCGGGATCTTTAGTTAAAATTAAGCGTGCGATAAAAATAGACATGCAGGAGAGCGTGCAGAGTTAAACCAAACAGAAATAAAGGTGTAAAAAAGTTGAAAAAGTATAAAAGAGAGTGAGTGGATGAGTGAATAAAGTGTAAGTGTGTGTGTACCTCGGTCATTCCCGGGGTGATGGTCGGAGCGGCGATGAAAACGACAAAAGGAGCGAACTCTGCTGTCCTCAAGATCTTTAGAGCCTGAAACAACAGACCTGGTTTAGTCCTGGTTTAGTCCCTTGGTTTAGTCCTGGTTCAGTCCTGGTTTGATTTAGATTTAGTCCTGTTTCAGTCCTTGGTTTAGTCCTGGTTTAGTCCTGGTTCAGTTTAGATTTAGTCCTGTTTCAGTCCTGGTTTAGTCCCTGGTTTTGTCCTGGTTTAGTCCCTGGTTTTGTCCTGGTTTAGTCCTGGTTTATCCCTGGTTTAGTCCCTGGTTTTGTCCTGGTTTAGTCCCTGGTTTAGTCCCTGGTTTTGTCCTGGTTCAGTCCTTGGTTAAATCCCTGGTTTAGTCCTGGTTTAGTCCTAAATTTTGTCCCTGGTTTAGTCCTTGGTTTAATCCTGCTTTAGTCCTGGTTTAGTTTAGGTCTGGTTTAGGTTTAGTCCTGATTTAGTCCTTGTTCACTCCCTGGTTTAGTCCCTGGTTTAGTCCCTAGTTTACTCCTTTGTTTAGTTCTTGATTTAGTCCCTACTTTAGCCCTAGTTCAGTCCTAAACCAATCCTGGTTTAGTCCTGCTTTAGTCCTAGTTCAGTAGTGGCTCAGTCCTGGTTCGGGCCTTGTTCGGTCCTCATTTAGTCTTTGTTTAGTCCTGCTTTAATCCTGCTTTAGTTCTACTTTAGTCCTGGTCTAGTCCTTGTTCAGTCCTGGTCTAGTCCTGGTCTAGTCCTGGTTTAGTCCTGGTCTAGTCCTCACCTGTGGCTCTACGTCGAGTATAACGACCATGCCCTGCCCGTGGATCTGGCATATCATCCGGTACTTTAGTCCTGGTCTAGTCCTGGTCTAGTCCTGGTCTAGTCTTGGTCTAGTCCTGGTCTAGTCCTGGTCTAGTCCTGGTCTAGTCCTGGTCTAGTCCTCACCTGTGGCTCTACGTCGAGTATAGCGACCATGCCCTGCCCGTGGATCTGGCATATCATCCGGTACTTTAGTCCTGGTCTAGTCCTGGTCTAGTCCTGGTCTAGTCTTGGTCTAGTCCTGGTCTAGTCCTGGTCTAGTCCTGGTCTAGTCCTGGTCTAGTCCTCACCTGTGGCTCTACGTCAAGTATAGCGACCATGCCCTGCCCGTGGATCTGGCATATCATCCGGTACTTTAGTCCTGGTCTAGTCCTGGTCTAGTCTGGTCTAGTCTTGGTCTAGTCCTGGTCTAGTCCTGGTCTAGTCCTGGTCTAGTCCTGGTCTAGTCCTCACCTGTGGCTCTACGTCAAGTATAGCGACCATGCCCTGCCCGTGGATCTGGCGTATCATCTCCAGTCTGGTCCTGTACTTTAGTCCTGGTCTAGTCCTGGTCTAGTCCTTGTTCAGTCCTGGTCTAGTCTTGGTCTAGTCCTGGTCTAGTCCTGGTCTAGTCCTCACCTGTGGCTCTACGTCGAGTATAGCGACCATGCCCTGCCCGTGGATCTGGCATATCATCCGGTACTGGTTAGTCCTGGTCTAGTCCTTGGTCTAGTCCTGGTCTAGTCTTGGTCTAGTCCTGGTCTAGTCCTGGTCTAGTCCTGGTCTAGTCCTGGTCTAGTCCTCACCTGTGGCTCTACGTCGAGTATAGCGACCATGCCCTGCCCGTGGATCTGGCGTATCGTCTCCAGTCTGGTCCTGTACTTTAGTCCTGGTCTAGTCCTGGTCTAGTCCTTGTTCAGTCCTGGTCTAGTCTTGGTCTAGTCCTGGTCTAGTCCTCACCTGTGGCTCTACGTCGAGTATAACGACCATGCCCTGCCGTGGATCTGGCATATCATCCGGTACTTTAGTCCTGGTCTAGTCCTGGTCTAGTCCTGGTCTAGTCTGTCTAGTCCTGGTCTCGTCCTGGTAGTCCTGGTCTAGTCCTGGTCTAGTCCTCACCTGTGGCTCTACGTCGAGTATAGCGACCATGCCCTGCCCGTGGATCTGGCATATCATCCGGTACTTTAGTCCTGGTCTAGTCCTGGTCTAGTCTTGGTCTAGTCCTGGTCGTCCTGGTCTAGTCCTGGTCTAGTCCTGGTCTAGTCCTCACCTGTGGCTCTACGTCGAGTATAGCGACCATGCCCTGCCCGTGGATCTGGCATATCATCTCCAGTCTGGTCCTGTACTTTAGTCCTGGTCTAGTCCTTGTTCAGTCCTGGTCTAGTCTTGGTCTAGTCTGGTCTAGTCCTGGTCTAGTCCTCACCTGTGGCTCTACGTCGAGTATAGCGACCATGCCCTGCCCGTGGATCTGGCGTATCGTCTCCAGTCTGGTCCTGTACTTTAGTCCTGGTCTAGTCCTGGTCTAGTCCTGGTCTAGTCTTGGTCTAGTCTTGGTCTAGTCCTGGTCTAGTCCTGGTCTAGTCCTCACCTGTGGCTCTACGTCGAGTATAGCGACCATGCCCTGCCCGTGGATCTGGCGTATCGTCTCCAGTCTGGTCCCGTACATGGCGTCCTCGTGGCTGCCGTACTCCAGGTAGTCGTTGTTGCTGATGTCCTGCATCATCTGATCATGTGACACGAAGAAGTAGTTTTTCCCGTTCTCCTCGTCCTTTTTCGGAGGTCGGGTGGTGTCTGCAGGGAAGAGGACGAGGAAATGGACGAGGATGAGAGGAAATATGGGAAAATTAAAATCGCAAGCGGCATCGAACGGCCCTCTGATGTTATTCTTATTATTACGAATTATTGCTGCCTGAAAAAAAATTAATCTGTCTATCTCATGGGCCACGCCTCAAGATCACCATTTGGGCTGTGCAAAAATATCTAAATATCGATATATCGTATTGTTTAATGTGATGATACAGTATCGATATCGTGAGCTGCTGTATCGATATATCACCAAGAGTATTTTTCGGTATATTTTACTCAATTATTTTGTTCCATAGCTACAGATTTGTTGCTTGTTTAGAGGAAGGAAACTCATTTATGCAACAAATTTGACATTTTCATTGTTTTGATGATTCAGATGTTTGTGTTTCATTTGAACTTTGCACAATAAGCGATTTAACAAAGACTTTTAGTATCACGGCCATGATTTAGACATTATTTTTTATTGAACCATATCGAATCGATTTGAAATATATCGTATTGAACCGAAAGTGCACTGTATCGAGATATGTATCGTATCGTGGCCTATGTATCGAGGTATGTATCGTATCAGCAACTTTTTAATGACACCCACCCCTAGAAAAAAGCGCTAAACATTGTGGATTCTCATGTCAGTCATAATCTTCTGAGGGACTTTTTTTTGGCTTCATGGTCGTTCACAAACACACTTTTCAGTATTTTGGCTAAACAAATAACAATTTACGTTCCTTGTTACTGTTGGCAGGGATTAAATGAGTAAAAAATGTTGACAGTTTGGGCTGGGTATCATTCAGAAGTTGCCGATACGATACTTATCTAGATATAGTGAGCTTTCGATACGATTCACTGCAATATATTTCAAACAGATTCAATACAGTTTGATAAAAAATAAAGTCTAAATCATGTCTGCGATACTAAAAGTCTTTGTTAAACCACTTCTTGTGCAACGTTCATAAACATTTTAATCACCAAAACAGAGAAAAATGTCAAATGTGTTGCATAATTGAGTTTCCTTCCTCTCTGCTTTTGTGATGAGTAAAACTAATATTGGGTCAAATTTTGTACACACACAGTCCTGGTCTTAACTGTCATGGTAAAGACCTGGTTCAGTTGAGGTTTCAGTGTTTATTTTGCATAGCTGACCGTTATATGTCCTCTTTAAAATATCAAATACATATAACTTTGATGTTTTTGTCTAAAATCATGTGTTATTATTTGATTTAGTGTTTTTGCTCACGGGGGATGGGGTAGGCGAAGCGGTCGGGGTGTTTGGCGATCAGTGTGTTCTTGATGTGCCTCCTGCCCACTCCATGAGCTCCTGAAAAAAAAACACACAAACAATTCAGAATTTAAAATTTAACTGGTTTAATCCTGGTTCAATCCTGGTTCAATCCTGGTTTAGTCTTGGGTCTACTCCTGGTCTAGTCCTGCTTTATTTAGTCATACATAAGGGGACTACACTGGGACTAAACCAGGACTAAACCAAGACTTAAATGGAACCACAACAGGACTAAACCAGGACTAAACCAGGACTAAACCAGGACTTAAATGGAACCACAACAGGACTAAACCAGGACTAAACCAGGCCTAAACCAGGACTAAACTAGCACTAAACCAGGACTAAACCAGGACTAAACCAGCACTAAATAAAACATTAACCTTTACTCACCAAGTAGTACGAGAGTTTTCCTTTTAAATGACGGCACTCGGACGACCTCCTCGTACGTGACCAGGTCTAGTTGGTCAAACACTGAAGATACAGAAACAAAAGATTAAAACTCAACATTCTGATTATTGAAAACCAGATTATAATCATTTCTATTTAAATGTGTCAAATAAAAACTGATAAAACGCTAATTATGTGCAAAAACAACTTGCATACCAAATATCTTACCCAAATTTTGCTCTAGAACTACAAAACTGAACTCATGCAAAATAATTAAGCCCTTATTCATGTATTTAAAAGTTGTGTATAAAGGACTGGCATTATATTAAAAAATACTAGAGCTAATACTAAACTTCATGCAATATTTTGCAAAGAAACTATAATTAAAAACACAAACATTATCAGATTAACTAGAGCTGTACATGTGCCTGAAATAAATTAAAACAATATAAAGACAAAAGGGAGAGTTAAGCAGAGGCCAGAGCTCAAAGGAGACAACGGAGTTTGGATTTAACATGAGAAAATTACACATTCTAGAATTTTTATTTTAGGAAATGCTTTTTTTTTTTAAGTGATTTTGTTTGTGAATAAAACCAAAACTGCAATTAAGTAATAGTCCAGTGAATTAAAAAAGCTACTGAATATTTATTAATCAACTTTCTTTTTTAATCTGCTTTTTTTTATACAAATCTGTTTAGGTTTAGTGCTTTTAAAAAGTTATGTCTAAATCATTTTATGTATTTTAACCTAAATGTTGTTAAATTTTAGCTTCAAAATACTGAGTCATGGCTCATTTTGCTTTCTGATTTCTGACACCAAATTATAATTTTATAATTAAGAATGTTTTGTAATACACCCATCCATGTTCTTCTGCTTATCTGGGGCTGGGCCGTGGGGCAGCAGTCTGAGACTTCCTTCACCCCAAACACTTCTTCCAGCTCCTCCGTGGAAACCCCGAGGTGTTCCCAGGCCAGCCCAGAGACACAGTCCCTCTAGTGTGTCCTGGGTCTTCCTCGAGGCCTCCTCCCAGTGGGACATGTCCAGAACACCTCCTGAGGGAGACGCCCAGGAGGCATCAAAGCAAATGCCTGAGCCACCTCAACTGCTCCTCCCAATGTGGAGGAGCAGCGGCTCTACTCTGAGCTCCTCCAGTGTGACTGAGCTCCTCACCCTACCTACTGACGGTAAATCAAGAGTTTTGCCTTTAGGCTCAGTTCCCTCTTCACCACAACGGTCCAATACAGACGCTGCACTGATCCACCTGTCAATCTCACGCTTCATCTTCCCCTCACTCATGAACAATATTTATTCTAACTGTATTTTTCTCATATTAAAGCGTGTCTCCTTTGGCTCGTGTTCAGTTTCAGACAGTTACTTACATGCAGCCAGTGGGTAAAGACAGCATGAGGGGAGGGGAGAGGGGACGGTTAGAATCACCACGCCAAAAAATCAAATTAAAATCCAAATTAAAACACATTAAAACACTGTTAATTATTGTTAGTTTAAAGACAAAAAGCGGGAATATTTAAGACCACAGCGAGAGGAAAGATTCAAAGGGAAAAGACGTCGTTACAAGCAATTTATATTGACAACACTGAGGGTTAAAAAGGAGAATTATTTTGGTTAAGTTTGGGGATTTACAAGTAATTAGGGCTGCACAGTTTGTCAATAATTTGGTATTTTAAAAATCTTTATTTTTAAGATTTTTTTTGTGTAAATGTATAAATGTAAATAATATAAATATGAGCACAATTAGCTAAAAAATATGCAAATTACTTCATATTTATCCAAACTACACCAATACAAAAATGACTAAACAGTAAAATCCTCCCCAAAAACGTAAAGCTGCACTGTGTAACTTTTTAGTTCGGGGTCCGTCACCTGCTTGTTTCTGTGGATATGTCGTTGCTCTGCCTGGATTGTTCCACAGTGTGACTTTAAACAGCTCTACTTGACATTTATTCAATTACAGGTGGTTTTATAGCTCAAAAATACCTAGAAAAAAAAACATTTTGTCTGTGAGCGGGGTCGCCTCTCCACAGATCTGACCTGTAACTGTCTGGTTTGGTCTCCATGAGGACAGAAAGGTTTAATTAATGCCATACTGTGAAACATTCCAGACAAAGCAATAACATCTCCACGGATAAAAGCGTCTGACGAACCCTCTGCCTGAAAACTTACACAGTGCACCTTTCAGTATTTTTTTTTCTTTTCCTTGAGGGCCGCCAACTGCTCGTCTCCATGGAGAATGTTCCGCAGTATGACACTGGACCGGGCCAAGTTACAGATCAGGTCTGTGGAGAGGCGACCCCGTTCACAACGAGCAATAACGCAGGGGTCTCAGGGGATTTCTGAATCATACGTATTGTGCTGAATGTAATTAAATGCCTATTTCACTATTTATTTTGAATGTATTATCACCATTTACATTTTTGCTGTTTGTTATTATATTATATTGTAATGTGTGAGCTACTGTGTCCAAATAATTTCCAATAAAGTCTAAAAAGTTACACAGTAGAGCTTTAAAATGATTGAAAGTGTGTAATTGTTTTTGTGCAGCCCTGATTTTATCGTAATAAAATATCTTGAATAGTTTTACCTGCGTTGTGCTTGGCCAGATACTTGTCCTTATACTGTTTCTTCTTTTTGCCAAACCAGGTGCAGCTGGCCTGTTGCTCCTGTTTGGTTTTCTCCATGGCGATACAAGCCACACGCCTGAGAGAAAGACAGACAGGAAGTGATCGAGTTTAGAGGAAAAAACTACAAATATGGCGGCTTCACAGGGACAAAAAAGTCTGAATTAAGGTAAATGGTTTTCTGTGTTTCTTTACTGGACTACGATGATTGATACAGATAAGAACGAGACCAGGGACTAGACCAGGGCCAGACTAAGACTAGATCAAAACTAGACCACGACTACAACCAGACTAAGACTAGACTAAGATTAGACCAAGACTAGACCCAGACTAAAACTAGACCAAGACTAGACCCAGACGAGACCCAGACGAGATCCAGACTAGAGCAGGACTAGACCACGGACGAGCCCACGGGCTAGACCAAGGACTAGACCAAAACCAGACTAAGACTAGACCAAGACTAGACTCAGACTAAGACAAGACCAGAACCAGACCAGGACCAGACTAAGACTAGATTTAAGACTAGATTTAAGACTAGATTCAAGACTAGACCCAGACTAGACCCAGACTAGAGCAGGACTAGACCACGGGACTAGACCACGGACGAGACCAGGGAATAGACCAGGGACTAGACCACGAACTAGACCACAGACCTGCCCAGGGACTAGACCACGAACTAGACCACAGACCTGACCAAGAACTAGACCAGGGACTAGACCATGGACTAGACCAACAGACCTGACCAGGGACTAGACCAGGTACTAGACCAGGGACTAGACCAGGGACTAAACCAAATCTGGACCAGGACAAGACCAGAAGCAGACCAAGACTAGACCAAGGACTAAACCAAGGACTAGACCATGGATGAGACCAGGGCCAGACTAGAACCAGACCAAAATTAGACCAGTGACTAAACCAGGGACTAGACCAGACCCAGACCACGGACAAGACCAGAGACTAGACCAAGGACTAGACCAGGGAAGAGACCAGGAATGAGACCAGGGACTATAGACCAAAGACTAGACCAAGACTAGACCAGAACCAGACTAAGACTAAGTCAGGGACTAAACAAAACCAAAACATTTAGTCCCAATAGAAACCATAAAACCAGGACTAAACCAAGACTATTTCAACGCCAATGAACAAGCACTACACCAGAACTAAACCAGGACTAGATCAGGACTAGACCAAGGTTTTTCGGTTGTATTGACACTCATGCTGGTTTAATCCTGGTTTAGTCCTGATGTAGACTTGGTTTGGTCCTGTTTCAGTCCTGGTCTAGTTCGGGTTTAGACTCTGAAAATTGTGAAAATCTCTCGTAATGATGCTCTGAATACATAAGTGAGGAAGAACTTTGGACCTGACTACAAACTGTTTTTCACATTTTAAAACAGTAAAAATCAGACACAGCACCTTTAATTAATTATATTTTATTAAAAAACAGAAATTCTTAAACCAAAACTCTCACCATTCTTGTAGTTCCGGTGACGGTATGAGCCCGGCGGTCCCGTTTTTAGTGTTTTCCAGTTTTCCTTGCCACCAGTTGTGATCGTCTTTGGAAATGATTTGAATGATATCGCCGACTCTGAACCTCACTCCGGCCTCTTTACAGGGGATCAGGTCGTCTTTAGAGGGGTCGTACTCAAACTGGGCGCGCACGTAGATCTGGAAAACAAAAAAAGTGGGGAAAAAAGTGTTTAAAAACGCTGGGAATTTGAGGAATTATAATTTTAATAAGTTAAAACAAAGGAGAAAGTTAAAGATACAGGGGGAATGATCAAGGCAAAGATGCTTGTTGTAACATGGATTAGAACCTTGACTATAACCTGAATTTAAAGCCACAGTGTGTAACTTTTTAGCCGAAAAGTAGACTTAAATAAAATAAATTTAAAAAGTTGTTAGTTGTTTTTTTTTTCAATCATGTTTATTTCATTGTAAATCTTGCAAAACACTTGACTGTCCTGACCGTGAGTGAGCTCGCGTCTCCACAGACCTGACTCTCGTTTGCTTGTTTCCATGGCAATGTTCCTGCTTTAACTATAAAAAATATGGGTTTATTTTTCTGTTTACATGGAATTAAACTGGTGCCGCCTCCAGAAAGTTACACACTGCAGCTTTAACTATAAAAATAAACAGTATAAAATATGAACTAAACTATCACAACTACAATTTATACAACTACTACATCAGTGAGTACTACTATTAGGGCTACTACTACTACTACTACTACTACAACTAGAGCAACTTCTAAAACTACTGCAAGTACTACTACTATGACTACTACTACTACGACTACTACTACTTCTGTTGAGCTAGTCTTATTTTAAAGTACATATGACAGGTTAGAGTAGTTTTCACTATAACAGTTACCAGAATTATATTTAAGATATTACTACAAATTTGACCGAGTTTTGTGGAGTTTTAAAATTCTGGGACTAGACCAGGGTCCAAACCAAGGACTAGACCAAGGTCTAGACCAGGGACTAGACCAACTAAACCAGGGCTGAACAAAGACATTTAGTCCATGTAGAACCCACAATGCCAGGATTAACCTGCCTAAACCAACCAAGATAAAACCAAGACTAAACCAGAACTAAACCAGGACTAAACAAAGACTAAACCAGAACTAAACCAGGACTAAACTAGGACAAAACCAAGACTGAACCAGGACTAAATCAAGACCACACCAGGACTAAACCAGGACTGTATCAGGACAAAACCATGACTAAACCAAGAATAAACCAAGACTAAACCAGGACTAAACCAAGACTAAACCAGGACTAAACCAAGACTAAGCTAGGACTAAACCAGGACTAAATCAAGACTAAGCTAGGACTAAACCAGGACTAATCTGAGACTAAACCAGGACAAAACCAAGACTAAACCAGGACAAAACCAAGACTAAACCAGGACTAAATCAAGAATAAACCAGGACTAAACCAAGACTAAACCAAGACTAAACCAGAACTAAACCAAGAATAAACCAGGACTAAATCAAGACTAAACCAGGACTAAACCAGGACTAAACCAGAACTAAACCAAGAATAAACCAGGACTAAACCAAGACTAAATCAGGACTAAACCAAGACTAAACCAAGACTAAACCAGAACAGGTACGATCCACTAAACCAAAGTGAGAAAAACATGAAAACCTGTCATATGAACTTTAAAACTACAACTACTCATAATTATTACTACTTCTACTACTACAAATATTACTACTACTACTACTGTTACTACTACTACTGGGGTCTGTTGAGTTGTTCTTACCTTAACAGTCATTTTTTGCTCTGTGACTGGCGTTCTGGTGATCTATGGGTCAGATATCACACTTACAGAGAGCTCATGCAGAAGGAAATGCAAGAAATAAGGATTTAAACCAAATGGGAGATTCTCTGTTAGAAACTACAACTAAATAATGAGTTAATCTGGTTAAAGGGAGTAAAGTGATTAAAATATAAAGACAAGTTGGACAATATTAAACTGGGCTGCACAATAGTAGAGGTTTCAGAGACCAGGACTAGACAGGGACTAGATCAGGACAAGACTGGGACTAGATGAGGACAAGATGAGGACTAGACCAGGGATTAACTAAAACATTTGGTTCCTGTAGACCCCACAAAAAGAATGTTTAACCAGGACTAAACCAGGACTGAACCAGGACTAAACCAGGGATTAACAAAGACATTAAATCCCTGTAGACCCCACAAAACCAGGATTAAACCAGGACTAGACCAAGGACTAGACAAGGGACTAGACTAAGGACTAGACCAAGGACAAGACAAAGGACAAAACCAAGGACTAGACTAAGAACTAGACCAGGGAGTAGACCAGAAACTAGACCATGGACTAGACCAGGAACTAGACCAGTGAATAGACCAGGGACTAGATCAAGGACCAGACCAAGGACTTGATCAAGGACTAAACCTGGAACTAGACAAGGGACAAAACCAAGGATTAGACCAAGGACTACACCAGGGACTAGACCAAGGACTAGACCAGAAACTAGACTAGGAACTAGACTAAGGACTAGACCAATTACTAGACCAGGGACAAAACCAAGAACTAGACCAGGGCTTAACCAAGACATTTAGTCCCTGTAAATCAAACAAAAACCAGGACTAATCAGAACATCTCAAGACTAAACCAGGACTAAACTGAGCATTCCAATAGTTATCATTAAAAGTGGTATATTTAGTTTTATGTATTTATTTTTTATTAAATCTGAACTAAACAAAGCTAAATTATGACCGAAAAGCAGAAGAAAACTGATTTTATCTTTAATTCCTGGCAGAGATTTGTCGCTCTCAACGATAACTCCGTCACATTGTGCAGCCTTAATATTGACGTGGCCCAACTTGTCCAAAAACCACAGTAAAATCCACGGATGAGATGGATCGTTTCATGACCGTTTCATGACCGTTTCGTGACGTTATCAAACACTGTCTCATGCAGATGAATGAACATTAGATCTGCTGCTGCTGAGGGTTAGTCCAGCCTCACCTGACGCCCTTTCGGTTGGATAGTCGAGGGCAGATCCTGGACGCAAAAAGTTTAAGAGTTACTCAGTGGGAAAATGCATTCGATTGGACTCTACAAGTTAGTATATTCATCAAAGTCTAGGGGGCGCTGTTGTGCACTGAAGTTATGATATTACACAGAGCTTGCAGCACAGAAACAGAAAAGTGAAATAGAAAGTAGCAGTAGATTTTTAAGTGGTTTTAGTTTAATTATAGTCGGTGTTACCAGAATAGAGCTGGTGACGCTGGCGTGGCCGTTCGCAGGAGACTGACGAGAAACATCCGGAGACTCTTTCTGTAAAAATATAAAACAGTTCTGGTTAAAGTCACAGTATGGAACTTTAAAAAAAAAAAAAAAAAAAAGACAAGAATAAAAGGATTTAACGAGGACTAAACCTGAATTAACCTTGAACTAAACCAGGACTAGACCAGAGCTAGACCAGGACTAGACCAGGACTAGATCAGACAGGGACTAGACCAAGGACCAGACCAGGACTCGATCAGACAGGGACTAGACTAGATTAAAGCTACAGAATGTAACTTTTAAACAAAAAAATAGATGAGAATAAAAGGATTTAATGAGAACTAAACTTGAACTAAACCTGAAATAAAGCAGGACTAGACCAGGACTAGACCAGGGCTAGACCAGGGCTAGACCAGGGCTAGACCAGGACTCTATCAGACAGGGACGAGAATAGATTAAAGTTACAGTATGTAACTTTAAAACAAAAAAATAGACAAGAATCAAAGGATTTAACGAGGATTAAACCTGAACTAAATCAGAGTTAGAAAAGGACTAGACCAGGGTTAGACCAGGGCTAGATCAGTTAGGGACTAGACCAGGACTAGACCAGGACTAGGCCAGAACTAAACTGGCGCAAAACATCCGAATACTCTTTCTGTAGAAATATAAAACTGTTCTGGTTAAAGTCACAGTATGTCACTTTTAAACAAAAAACAGACCAAAGAATAAAAGCATGTTATTGTTCATTTTGATTGTGTTCATTGGAACTGTTCATTGGAACTCTGGAAAATATGTGCTTTTATTCTGAGCAGACTTTTGTCTCCACAAACCTGACCCTTATTTGGCCTGGAAGAGGGTCTCCTCCTGCTTGTTTCCATGGAAATATAATATTCCACAGTATGGCATAAAGCTTTTCTATCTCGGTGAAGAATGATCTGAAATATGTTTTTTCCATAGAAATAACAACATCACAGGTGACACTCCACTTCTAGAAAGTTCCATACATGTATATTTTGCAAGATAGTTTTAAGCAATAAAATAAACTGTGTAAATGTAAAATAGATTAGTTTAATGCCATATGGTGGAACAATTCGAGCACAGCATTAGCATCTCCATGGAGACATACAGAAGTTCAGTAGTAAGATTTTACCTCGATGGACATGGACTGCGATCGGTAACTAGGGACGATCTTAAAGGTGATGCTTCCTCTCATCTCCCTCTGTGGAACACAAACAAACATACAGATTTATCATGGCGTTTTACATTTTAATAACAGTAATAATAAGCAATATAGAGACTTTATTTATTTAGATCAGAAAATATACAAACTTTAACTCGCACTAGCCAATGTAGGTAGTATTGCTGTGTGTGGGCTTTGTTTTTTTACTGTTTTGTTTATCTTTCTATAGTTCATATGCATTTAGAGGGTGGGACTTACGAGCATCTTCTGCAGCTGTTCTACCGTCTGATTGGCCACGCTGATTCCATTGATCTCTCTGATCTCGTCTCCTACGTGAAGTGTCCCTGAAACAAGACAACAGAAAATTATTAACATGAAATCCGACAGTTTTTTATTCATTCACATCTTATATAGACTAAATAAAGAAAGGTGTCCTAAAGTAGCCTTGATAAATCATATAAAAGTGTAAATATTCTCACCCTGTCTGTGGATCATCCCTCCGTGCATGATACGGGCCACGATACAGTGGTTCAGCTCGTTCATTTTTAGAGTTATGCCCTTTAGAGACAAAAACACAAGGCGGGGTTAGTCCTGTTTTAATCCTGGTTCAGTCCTGTTTTAGTCCTGGTTCAGTCCTGTTTTAGTCCTGGTTCAGTCCTGTTTTAGTCCTGGTTCAGTCCTGTTTTAGTTCAGTCCTGTTTTAGTCCTGGTTCAGTCCTGGTTCAGTCCTGGTTCAGTCCTGTGGTTTTAGTCCTGTTCAGTCCTCAGTCCTGGTTCAGTCCTGTTTTAGTCCTGGTTCAGTCCTGGTTTTCAGTCCTGTTTTAGTCCTGGTTCAGTCCTGTTTTAGTCCTGGTTCAGTCCTGGTTTAGTCCTGTTTTAGTCCTGGTTCAGTCCTGGTTTAGACCTAGTTTAGTCCTGGTTTACAGGTTTAATTTAAAGGGGTTGTTTAGAAATTGTAGATGTTACAGACAAAGTTGATCATCCATTCTATAAAATTTCTTGGAATTCTAGTTTCTAATAATTCTGTAGTAGATGCAGCAACAGTTGGAGTAGCAGTAGAAGTAGCAGTACTAGTAATAATAGCAGTAGTAGTAACACTAGTTTTATTATTACAATACTACAATACAGTAGTAGATGCAGTAATAGTAGTAGGAACATTAGTAATAATAGAATCTGTGGTGGTGGTAGTACATTAGTAGTAGTAGAAACAGTAGTAGCAGTCGTGGTTGTAGTAACATTAGTAGTAGTACAGTAGTAGTATGATTATCTTGTCTGACCATAGGTTCGTCTGTGTTCTTCTGGAACTGCACCAGTCTGACCCTGGTGACGTTCTCCAGGTCCATGTCGGCGGAGGTGGAGTCGGGCGAGTCTCCGTTCAGAAAGGGGGAGGAGGGGGGAGGGGTGACGCGCAGAGCCTCGTCACTGTACACCTCATGGGCCACTACGTCGTGAGTCTGTAACAGGGCCTGGACGAGAAAGAGAAAGAGAGAAAACACTACGTCATGAGTCTGTAACAGGGACTAGAGGAGAGAGAAAGAGAGAAAAACACTACGTCGTGAGTCTGTAACAGGGCCTGGACGAGAAAGAGAAAGAGAGAAAACACTACGTCATGAGTCTGTAACAGGGACTAGAGGAAAGAGAGAAAGAGAGAAAACACTGACGTCATGAGTCTGTAACAGGGACTAGAGGAGAGAGAAAGAGAGAAAACACTACGTCATGAGTCTGTAACAGGGACTAGAGGAGAGAGAAAGAGAGAAAACACTGCGTCATGAGTCTGTAACAGGGACTAGAGGAAAGAGAAAGAGAGAAAACACTACGTCATGAGTCTGAAACAGGGACTAGAGGAAAGAGAGAGAGAAAAACACTACGTCATGAGTCTGAAACAGGGCCTGGAGGAGAAAGAAAAAGAGAAATAGAGAAAACACTACGTCATGAGTCTGTAACAGGGACTAGAGGAAAGAGAGAGAGAGAAAACACTACGTCATGAGTCTGTAACAGGGACTAGAGGAGAGAGAGAGAGAAAACACTACGTCATGAGTCTGTAACAGGGACTAGAGGAGAGAAAGAGAGAAGAAAACACTACGTCATGAGTCTGTAACAGGGACTAGAGGAAGAGAGAGAGAGAGAAAACACTACGTCATGAGTCTGTAACAGGGACTAGAGGAAAGAGAGAGAGAGAAAACACTACGTCATGAGTCTGTAACAGGGACTAGAGGAGAGAGAAGAGAGAAAACACTATGTCATGAGTCTGTAACAGGGACTAGAGGAGAGAGAAAGAGAGAAAACACTACGTCATGAGTCTGTAACAGGGCCTGGAGGAGAAAGAGAAAGAGAAAGAGAAAACACTACGTCATGAGTCTGTAACAGGGACTAGAGGAAAGAGAGAGAGAGAAGAAAACACTACGTCATGAGTCTGTAACAGGGACTAGAGGAAAGAGAGAGAGAGAAGAAAACACTACGTCATGAGTCTGTAACAGGGACTAGAGGAGAGAGAAGAGAGAGAAAACACTACGTCATGAGTCTGTAACAGGGACTAGAGGAGAGAAAGAGAGAAAACACTACGTCATGAGTCTGTAACAGGGACTAGAGGAAGAGAAGAGAGAAAACACTACGTCATGAGTCTGTAACAGGGACTAGAGGAGAGAGAAAGAGAGAAAACACTACGTCATGAGTCTGTAACAGGGACTAGAGGAGAGAGAAAGAGAAAACACTACGTCATGAGTCTGTAACAGGGACTAGAGGAGAGAGAAGAGAGAAAACCACGTCATGAGTCTGTAACAGGGCCTGGAGGAGAAAGAGAAAGAGAAGAAAACACTACGTCATGAGTCTGTAACAGGGCCTAGAGGAGAAAGAGAGAAAAAAGAAAAAATATACCATTAACATAATCGTGGTAATGGTAAATTAACTAAAATTTCTGGGACTGGTTCTTGACCCCTGGCTAAAATTTGATGCCTCTGTGCCACAAGGAAAGTGGAGCGCGAGATGAGCTTAATATTACACTATTACACTATTACGATAATCGATGTTGTAATGTTCTTTTCTCATCACAAACAAACCTGGAGTTGTGTTTTGTTTCATTCACACATACAGTATAACACAAACCCTGCAGATTTAGGCAGAGTTCTTCTCTCAAACGGAAAACACTCGGTTCCATCATGTGGTAAATATAAGAAGTGCTTCACTGTTTTTAAACTTCATACATTTTCACTAGAATCATGTGGATAATTTCAGCTCTTCTGGAATTGTCAATCTTTACTGAACTAAAGGTAAAAGGAGCTGTTAATGTGAAAACTACAGACATCATAACACATCACAAGGTGGAACAGAGCATTCTGAGCTCTGGAGATGTAGACAGACTAATAAAAATGTGTTACTAAAACATGTGGGAATGAAACAAAACACAACTGCAGGTCTGTTTTTGAGTCGGCAGCAGCATTATAACATGACTTAAAGCTCACAAGAGTCAGTTTTGTGTCATATAAAACCTTTAAGAACATGTGAACATAAATCAGAATTTGTAAAAAACAACTTGTAGTGAATAAACGTGAACTTATTTCAAACTGGAACTACCTCTTTCTTGTTGTTTTCATAATTTGGTGGGAGCATGGGTGATGTAGATTTGTAGGCGGAGCATCGCACAGAAGTTAACTGTAAAAAGGGTTTGAATACGACCCGGGAGAGATCTCTAAATTACTCAAACATGCATGGATGACTTCTAAAACCTCTTTAAGCATGTTTTTGATGAGGAAAAATTATTATAACATGTTAGAATACAAAAAAACAAATCAGTAATACCTTCTTTTTAATACGATTTATGGAAAATTCCAGACAAATCAATAACATCTCCATGGTGACAGACCCGCCCACCCTTTTTCCTGACTAAAAAAGTTACATATTGCACCTTTAACTTGTCTTCATCAATACTACAATTCTGCTGCTGGCTTCACGACCCAGATTCAAGACACCAAATAACATAAAACTCTCTCGCTCGCTCTCACAGCTTCATCAAAATTACGATTTCAAACAATTAAATTATTACCTTTTTCTCGCAGTTATTCCCATAGTTTTCCCACATGTATAGTTTTTATATTCCTGTTTGAATTGGACATCTCTGCTGCTAGTTTCATGTCTCGGCACCACCTCAAAGCTCAGAGCGTAAGAGGATTTAAATCAAGGTGTTAAGGATTGACAAGGCTCCCAGTCCCAACACTAGGGGGCATAAGCTCATTAAAAAGAAACACTGGGCACGAGAGCAAAACTAGAGCTGAGACGGTTGATGAATGTTGTCTCTAACTGTGATTTATTTCAAAAGTTTAAGAGTGTAAAAGAGCATTAACATTTGAGAGAAAAGACTGAAATCTGAACTTGAATCCAGTGTATTTCAGGACAAGAACCAGGGAAAAAAACAAGTCTAAAGCAGGACTAAACCAAGGTCCAAACTGAGTCCACAAACCAAACCAGGTCTAAAGCAGGAATAAAACAGGACTAAACCAGGACTAAACCAGGTCTAATCCATGTCTAAACCAGAACTAAAGCAAGACTAAATTAGGACTAAAGCAGGTCTAAAGCAGGTCTAAAGCAGGTCTGAAGCAGGACTAAACCAGGGCTAAAGCAGGACTAAACCAGGTCTAAAGCAGGTCTAAAGCAGGACTAAACCAGGACTAAACCAGGGCTAAAGCAGGACTAAACCAAGTCTAAACATGGACTAAACCAGGTCTAAACATGGACTCAACCAGGACTCATGGACTCAACCAGGACTAAATCAGGACTAAACCAAGTCTAAACCAGGACTAAATCAGGACTAAACCAAGTCTAAACCAGGACTAAACCAGGACTGAACCAGGACTAAACCAGGACTAAACCAGGTCTAATCCATGTCTAAACCAGAACTAAAGCAAGACTAAACCAGGACTAAACCAGGGCTAAAGCAGGACTAAACCAGGTCTAAACATGGACTCAACCAGGACTAAACATGGACTCAACCAGGACTAAATCAGGACTAAACCAAGTCTAAACCAGGACTAAATCAGGACTAAACCAAGTCTAAACCAGGACTGAACCAGGGACTAAACCAGGTCTAATCTAAGCACTTAACCTGTTATAAAAGAGGACTAACACAGAACTAAACCGGAACTTTTAAAACAGATACACGAAATACTAAACAAGTCCAGGAATCCCACGTATTTCAGAATGTTTCAAGAAGCTTTTACACAGAATAAGAGGGTTTTTTTTGTTTGTTTTTTTACTGAACGAGGACATTATATTAAAAGGTAAAATATAAAATCCCGAGTCTTTACCATGAAGTGAGGCTGGGTGAGGATTCGCCGTAGCTCCTTGGCCTCCATGTTTTCAGGGTAACACGAGATAGTTTCCAACACCTGAAAATGAAAAAACAAAAAGAAAACTCAAAATATGCCTCAAATACATATAAGTTTATCTACTAATCCAGTACATTTCTGGTTGCGTAACATTTGTTTGGAATTGTTAATTGTAAAGCAAACAAAAAATCCAATAAAAATTAAATCACTCTCAATCCAGTAGACAGATAAAGTAAAATCCTAAAATACTCCTTCCTTTAAAATCCAACTTGTTACACAGTCATTGCAATAAATCTTCTTTCTACAGGACAGAATTGGCGCAGGTTTCCTCACCTCTTTGGCCCTCTGAACTCCGTCACTGGGAGGATTTCTGATCTGAGGCGACGACCGAGTGTTGATTTTGTCGTAAAGCTGAAAAACAAAAATCACGGTTTGAGTCTGAATCGATGAAAACGGCTCACGTACAAATGTATTATGACAAATCTACTCAAATAAAATAATCAGACTTCAGATATCAGTGAACTTCAGACTCTATTTCTATCACATTATTTATTACTTTATTTTTAAATGGTTATAAACGCTCTTACGTCTAGTAGTGTGTGCAGATGTTGGTCCTGGAAGACGCTGTGTAGAAAGTCCATGTCCTTCTCGCTGCAGTCGGTCAGAGCGTGGATCTCCTCCAGACTGTCCAGCACCTGAGACACTGCCCCTGGTGGACGAACACGGGAACTACAGTCACTAAATGCACACAATTATAATGGGGTTTAATGGGACAGCGCAGTATTTTGTAAAAGAATATCTACTAGAAAATAAAAATTTATTTGGACTAATATCGGGTGATTATTTAAATGTTTGGAGCATCAGATAATAAAATGAAAATCAGGACTAAACCAAAGATAAAGCCAGGTTTGGAACATACAAGATCTAATGGGGATTTAACCAGGATTAAACCGGGTTTTAAACAAGACTAAGGGTCATTGGGTTCTCGTTTGACCAGTTTAGTCACGATGTAGACCTGGTTTGGTCTTAGTTTAGTGCCGGTCCAGTTAAAGATTAGTTCCAACATAAATTGGGACTAAACCAGAGGCAAAATTAGGACTAAACCAAGACTAAACTTAATCCAAGTAAAATATTGAAGTAAACAAGGTCTAAACCAGGACGCAACGAGAACTAAATCAAAGCTATTGTAAAAGTAGTAGTAGTACTAGTAGCATTTTTATTTTTACTTCATACTACAGCTTCAGCTTCCGAAATCTGCCAATTCAAACACTAAACCAGGTCTAAACCAGGTCTAATCACAATCTGAACCAGGACCTGGATTAAACCAAGTCTAAACCAGGTGTAAACCAGGACTAAAGCAGGACTAAACCAGGACTAAACCAGGTCTAAAGCAGGACTAAACCAGGACTAAACCAGGTCTAAAGCAGGACTAAACCAGGACTAAACCAGGTCTAAAGCAGGACTAAACCAGGACTAAATCAGGACTAAAGCAGGGCTAAACCAGGGCTAAAACAAGACTAAACCAGGACTGAACCAGGACTAAAGTAGGACTAAACCAGGGCTAAAACAGGACTAAACCAGGACTAAAGCAGGACTAAACCAGGTCTAAAGCAGAACTAAACCAGGACTAAACCAGGTCTAGTTTAGTGCTGGTCTAGTCCAGAATTAGTTCCAAAATAAATTGTGACTAAACCAGAGCCAAAATTATGACTAAACCAAGACTAAAATCAGCCTAAATCCAAGTAAAATATTGAAGTAAACAAGATCTAAACCAAGACTCAACGAGAACTAAATCAAAATTAGTAATAGTAGTAATAATATTAGTGATATTTTTACTTCATACTACTATAGTTTCAGCTCCAAATTCTGCCAATTCAAACTGCTAAATGTTTAAAAGTCCTGTATTATGCAAAATTGACTCTTGTGAGCTTTAAGTCATGTTATAATGTCGTTACTTTATTAAAAAAACAGACCTGGAGTTGTGTTTTGTTTCATTCACCCTGGTCACAAGGTGGAACAGAGTATTTTCTGTCTGAAAGAAGAACTAAGCCTAAATATGCAATGTGTCAAAACAAAACTCCGGGTCTGTTTAGGACGAGGAACCTACATTACATTTCCTTTAAAATCAAAAAACTTTTACAAAATGTGGAACTGTCCCATTTTACAGACAAAAAAATAACCAAGCGTTTCATCCAATCAGACGTTCAAAAACACACAATAGATTTCACACATTTAAGATTTAACCCTCAGACCAAAACCAGAAAGTAGAAAAAAAAAAAAAAAGATAAAACATTTATAGAAAAAAATCACACAAAGCCGACACATATAAAAGCAGAGACGATCATTCATAACTACCTGCTATTCGCCCACACATGCAGCGAAACCAGAGAAACACGGCATCAGAAAGAGTTTAGTTTAGTTTGTTTTGGATGGAGCCATGATGGACGACAGTGAGGACAGGAGATGAACGAATGAATGAATGAATGAATGAATGAATGTGACTGGGTTAACGGGTTTGTGCTGAAAACAGTGACGGTGGAGGTTTAGGTTTGCACAATACAGCAGGAAGTTTTCATAGGAATTTAAACTTAAACATAATATCTAAGAACTGTAGTAAATGTAAAGTAAATATGTCTCAACTGAGAATTCAAAGTGTTGTTTTTTTCTTTTGTTTGTTTGTTTTTTACCAAATTTCAGTCACTATATTTCAACTATGTATTTTTTTTTTCTTTTCCCCTTCATTTAAAATTAAATTAAATATTCCTTTAAGTCTACTGTCTGTAAGTAATCTGTAATAAGTTTTGTGATCATATTTGTAATAGCATCTGTAATAACATTTAAAATGACTAAAATACTGTAATAACATGACTAATAAAATTTAAAAACACATAATATTGTAATAACATCTGTAATAACATTTAAAAGCTTCTGTAATAACATTTAAAAACACTAAAATATTGTAATAACATCTGTAATAACATTTAAGCACTAAGTTACTGTAATAACGTCTGTAATAACATTTAAAACCACAAAAATACTGTAATAACATGACTAATAAAATTTAAAAACACATAAATACGATAATAATGTCTGTAATAACATCTGTAATAACATCTGTAATAACACTGTAATAACACCTTCACACGCTAATAAACCTAAGAGCATTTATAGCCATTATTACATTTTTTTCTTTTTCCCGTCCGTTTAAAATTAAAATATATATTCCACTAATGCTACTGTCTGTAAGTAATCTGTAATAACATTTAAAAACACTAAAATACTGTAATAGCATGACTAATAAAATTTAAAATCACTTAAATACGATAATAATGTCTGTAATAACACCTGCCCACGCTATTAAACCTAAAAGTGTTTATAGCCATCTTTTAATTTTGTTCTTTTTCCCCTCCATTTGAAATTAAAATATATATTCAATTAAAACTACTGTCTGCAAGTAATCACATCTGTAATAGAATCTGTGATAATATCTGTAATAACATCTGTAAAAAAAAATACCTGCACATGCTATTAGACTTAAAGAGCGTTTATAGCCATTATTTCATTTTTTTTCTTTTTCCCCTTCCATTTAAAATTAAAATATATTCCATTAAAGCTAGTGTCTGTAAGTAATCTGTAATAACATCTGTAATAGAATCTGCAATAACATCTGTAATAACATTTAAAACCACTTAAAAACTATAATAAACTTGCAGATGGCAGCTTTAAATATTCAGTATATTTAAAAAAGTTTAGTATTTTTACTCACTAAATATCAGGCATGAGACATGATCTTATGCCACAAGACAAAATTGCCACAAGATCGTGCACACATGAGGAAAATTATGTTAAAATGGAGTACACTTTTTGAATCACAGCTACAATAACTGCAAAACTGTAACATTAAATAAAGCGAAAACGGTGAAGCAAAAAATAACTGAATGGCACAATTTATTCCTAAAAAATTTATTTAAAAAATCTCTTCTTGCCTCGATCTTCGTGGACTGAATTTCAACACGTTTCGTCTCGTAGAAATTGTACTTACTAAAAATGTTTGTCAGTCCCTCAAAAGTAAATTTTTTAATCATGTATTTAGAATAAACCAATATACACTACCAGTCAAAGGTTTGGACTCTTTACTAGTTTCTACATTTGATATACATACAGAAAAAAAATCTCCTCCGCCTAAATATTGTTTTTAACTCCTCTTTTGTCCATATTGTGCAGATCTGGTGGTGAAGCAGTGAATTGTAAGATGGGTATTTGCACTTCTGAAGGAAAAAATGATGTTGTTTTTGAGAATATTGGATAAAATGGATCAAACAGAAGGAAAAAAAATGTCATAAATAAATCATAAAAACAGAAGCAAAACATGCACTTTTAATGAGTCTGTTTACAAGCATCGCATTAACACTATCAATTTGCACATTTATTTATCTATTTTTAATGTATTTTACTAACAGCATTACAAAATTAAGATGTCTTTATGTCAAAAAAAGAATTATTTATTTATTTAACTGTTATTAATGAATAAATGATGCATGTAAACAGAAAATTTGGTCATGAATTTGGGTCGGAGCAAACAAGGCCCAAGCAACGAAATGAAACACGAAAAACTGAAGAGATACGAAACAAAAACAGTCAGAATTTGGGGTGATTTTTTTTTTTTTGGATTGATGATTAAAATGTAAAAAAATAAAATAAAAATGCCACAGCAAACACAAATGGGGATACGTACTTTCTGCAGCTAAAAGTCCTACAGAGACAGAACAGCAAAGAATACGATTAAACGAAAGAGAAATATTAAGAGAAAGGAAACACAGGAAACACAGGGGAACTCGGAGCTGTGCAAAATCATATTATAAGACAAGAAACAGCTTTTAATAACGAGCAATATGTCTGACAAAGTTTAAAATATTTGAAATTTAGCATATTTTGTATTTTAATGAGGCTCCACGTACATGCCCGGCGTAAATTTACTGTTAAACGATGAACCAATTCACGTTTGCGCTGCTGTGGGGATGCGAAAAAGCTGATAAAAAAGCTGTGTTGGTGCAAAAGCTAAAAACAGGAAGTGAGCATGGGCACGCTGATGATGGAATTGATTATAAAGTGGAAAACAGCGATAGCGACGGACTTACAGAGAGTGAAACTTATGAAGGTGAGAATGCCGCTGATGCGTCTGTGTGGAGTCCTGCGATATCCCAACAAACTATCCGGGCTTTATACTCGATTATGAACCAAATTTGCCCTGAAATCTGGATGTTGCCCAGGCCAGTCCTTTAAAATATTTCAGTCTTTTTTTCCAAGATGCGATGTATAACAGAATCGCTACAGAAAAAACGCTTATGTGGAGCTCTGCACACGAGAAAATAGCCAAGATGACAAATACTGGACACACACTGACGGGGAAGAGTTTTATTATTATATTATTATATTATAATAAGCTGAATTAGTTGAATAAGTTAAATAAGTTGAATAAGCTAAATGGAAAAAATGAATCAGGTGCACACAGGTGTACAACAGGTAAAAACAGGTGCACACTTGGATATACTGTATCTGGTGATATGAAATCTGTTTAAATACTTTGACAAAGTATATTTTTAATTTTTTTATGAATATAGTACTCAGAACATGCAGATATCAGATGCTGAATGTAGTTTTTTGTTTTCGATTTTGCACCTGACCAGGTAAACTCTCATTTTCAGTGAGCTGTTATACACCTATAAATGAGTTGAATCACATTTAAACATCAATAAATGAAGAGTTCAGAGTCTAAGGTTTCCAGAGATACAAATATGTCTGTGTTACAATTAAGTTCATGAGTGTAAAATTAATTTATAATCACTCGTGGAAGTCTGTTTTCTTTTATGCAGTTATGCTCTATGTTTAGCCCTAGTAACATATGTATGGGTTGTTCCTAGTAGGCGTCCAGGGGGGAAAGAGTTAAAACGGCTTTATACTGAACTTATTTACTGTAAAGATCGTCCCCATAAAAAATAATACAACCTAAATCAGAAATGTCAGACTCAGGCCCGGGGACCAAATTTGGCATTCTATATAATTATATTTGCCTCGTGAGATCATACCAAATCTGTATTAGAGCTGCCCACCGGCTACAGAGACATTATTTATTTAAAATATTGTTATTAATTTATATTCTGCTTGTTCTGGATTCAATTATTATTATTAAACATTTATTTTAATAAGAAAAGGTTTAACGTTAGAAGAGAAAACATGCAGATGACGTTGAACATTTAGTTTGATGCACGATTTAGTCCTAGTTTTAAATTTTGGCCCTCTGTGAATTTTGAGTTTGACACCTCTGACCTAAAAGCTGATGACGGTGCCCACGACTGACCTAGAATAAGGTGAATACTACTACTACTGCTACTGCTACTACTACTACTATGTTTACTACTACATAATAAATAAATACCTGTTGTATTGTTCTTCATAAGTCTTTGTTCCTTTCAAAATAAAACTCTTGTATCTTTACAGTCTCAGGAATAAGGTGAATACTGTCTCTGCTTTGACCGTAAGTGTACGGATTTTAAGTGTTTATTTACGGAGAAGCGGCGGACTTGAACGCAAATCCAAACTCGCGGAGCCACAAGTGTCCACGCGCTCTGTCCCACGTGAGTTTAAGTCAGTTCAGTGAAGCCTGAAGTGACCTCTCCTCTAAAGCGACATGTAGAGGTGTCTGTGAATCAGGCCTGGCAGCGGTTTCATAACACTATAACTATATAGAAAGTATGAGCCCAGGTTATATTTGCTACTGTGGGCAAACCGTTAAGTTAAAAAAAAAGTCTTTAAATGTCACTGCTGTGGTTTAGCGCTCAAATTTGGGTCACTGTGCCAATTCACATGCATGTGCCACCACTATAGGGTCCAACTGAAGCGTATTTATTATTGGGTTTTTAAAAGTGCATTGGGTAACTTTTCTGTCTTGTTTCCATGGATACGTCTCTGTTCTGCTTCAAATGTGCAACAGTGCGATGTTAAACTGGATCTACTTTACATTTATTCAATTACAGGTGATTTTATTGCTTAAAAATACCGAGAAAAACAGAAATTCTGACTGTGAGCGGCGTCGCCTCTCCACAGATCTGACTTGTAACTTGATAGAAAGGTTTAAGGATACAAAATGCACCTTTAAGTCAGTAAAAATCAGGTGTGAGTGAATCTCAGTTAATCTGTGTGCCATTAGTTCATTCGTTTTTCAATATAAAACCAAAAATAAGAAAATGAAAAAAAACAACAGTTTTCTTCATTATTTGTCTCCAAAACCAAAATGAAAAAACGGATAACGATTTGGTTTTTCAGTTTTCGATTTTGTGTTTAAATGAAGAATGGAAAAAATGGTTTATGTGACTTCCGTGACTGCAATGTCAGACTTTTGCACTGCATACGGACTGAACCAGGACTGATCCAGGTCCGGGACCAGAGTGGGACCAGAGTGGACTCCGAGCTTTGACTCCGAGCCTCCGCAGGGTTCGAGCCTCAGCTTCGACCTCCGGCCCTGCCTGTCTCGATCTGGTCTCAGTCTGGTCTCGATCTCAGTCCCGCTCTGGTCCCGGTCTGGTCTCAGTCCTGATCTCAGTCCCGGTCTGGTCCCAGTCTGGTCCCGGCCTGGTCCTGGTCTGGTCTCAGTCCCGCTCTGGTCTGGTCTCAGTCCCGCTCTGGTCTCGGTCTGGTCCCGGTCTGGTCTCAGGCCTGATCTCAGTCTCGGTCTGGTCCCGGTCTCAGTCCCGCTCTGGTCTGGTCTCAGTCCCGCTCTGGTCTCGGTCTGGTCCCAGTCTGGTCCGGCCTGGTCCTGGTCTGGTCTCAGTCCCGCTCTGGTCTCAGTCTGGTCCCAGTCTGGTCCCGGCCTGGTCCTGGTCTGGTCTCAGTCCCGCTCTGGTCTTGGTCTCAGTCCCGCTCTGGTCTCGGTCTGGTCCCGGTCTGGTCTCAGGCCTGATCTCAGTCTCGGTCTGGTCCCGGTCTCAGTCCCGCTCTGGTCTTGGTCTGGTCCCGGACCTGGATCAGTCCTGGTTCAGTCCGTATGCGGTGCAAAAGTCCGACATCGCAGTCATGGAAGTCACGTTATCCGTTTTTTCCATTTTTCATTTAAACACAAAATCGAAAACTGAAAAAAAAAAAAAAAATCGTTATCTGTTTTTTTCATTTTGGTTTTGGAGACAAATAATGAAGAAAATAGTTGTTTTTTCGTTTTCTTATTTTTGGTTTTATATTGAAAAAGGAATGAACGACCGACACACGGATTTCAGTTGAAGTTTCGTTGTCTTTTTGGAATTATTTTAAACATTCGCAGTAATTTCATACGTTTTTGCACAGCTCTGAGGTTCACCGTTGACAAAAATATACAGGAAAAGAATCTAGAGAGAGGAAAACGTCAAAGAGGAAGTTAAACAAAACAGAGCAGCGAAAATCGGGCTAAGAATAGAGCTGCGCAGAGTCCACACGTCTGCCGCAAACTCGACTGTCATCAGAAACGGCAGAGCGGAGCCGGCCAACTCAGCTAAACTCCACAGCCGTCCAACCCTCTGTGTCTTTAGCTTGGATTGTGATTAAAGATACACTGTGTAACTTTTCCGGTGCAGTGTCGGCCACCTGCTTGTGCCCATGGAGATGTTATTACTTTGCCAAGAATTTCCCACTGATCTGCTTAAAAATGTGTAATGCATTTATTTGATTAGAGGTGAAATTATGCAAAAAAAAAATAAAAATAATAAATAAATAACTGCTGTAATTAAAAAATTGAGATTCTAATGTACTTGTACGTTTAATGCCGCACTGTGGAACATTCCAGGCTAATTAATAACATTTCCAGGAAGGCACAAAGGTGGCAACAGCACGGTAAAGCAAAGTAAAGTATTTGTATTTGTTGATAATTTGCAGCGGATGTCAAAAACTTTTCCTGGGGGTGCGGCGCAAACTGGAGGCACTGCTGCGTCTGAAGCTCGGTTACGTTAAATTTTACTTTTTAATTTAACACAATCTGACCAGGAAGAGCTGATTTAGCCGGGACTACAACAGGTCAGCTGCACGATGTCACTGCAAAGTACTTTTTAATACAGTTTATTTATTATGGTTTTTATCTCTCGTGATCGCTGGGCCTCGAGGAGCACGTTTCGTTCTGTCGTGTGTTTCTCTTGAATGACAAATAAAGAACCTTGAACCTTGAAGTCCAGTCGTCCCTCGCTATAACGTGGTTCACCTTTCGCGGCCTCGCTGTTTCACGGATTTTTGCATGTTTTTTTTTGTTTTTTTTACTTAGCCGAACTCCTCCGTGTCGTGTCTCCTGTACAGTAGAGCATGTGTTCAGTTTGCCAAAATTTGCCAAATAGGTCGCTCTGGATTATAAGGCGCACTGTCATTAAATGGTCTATTTTTTAACTTTTTTCACAAATAAACCGCACCGGACTTTAAAGGAAACACAACAGTTGGATGGGTGAGTGGCACTTTGTTTGGCGCGTTCACGGTGACTCATTTGTTCAGTTGCGTCTAGAAGCGGCACAAATAAGATGTACATGTTCTGGCTCCGGTACAACAGCGACTTTAAAATCTCCAGGTGCTCAATGCTGCGTCCATGTTTAGGCGACTTCCGTAAACACAGAGCACGTTTATCTGCATGTGGGGCAATTTTGGGGCGTTTAAAGTTCACACTGGAGATCACACACAAGTCGCGTTTACTGTATTTTACGGACGATTAGTCGCTCTGGATTATAAGACGCACTGTCATTAAATGGTCTATTTTCTAACTTTTTTCACAAATAAACTGCACTGGACTTTAAAGGAATCACAACAGTGTGATGGGTGAGTGGTTTTGTTTGTGTGGCGTTCACGGTGACTTTGGGCTTTGTTCAGTTGTGGCGTGTAGGGAGGGTGCTGTCTGGGACCGCTGGATCGGTCGAGATGACTCAGTTGGTCAGTTGTGACTCAGATTGGCCCATAGGACTCGCTTTTTCAGTTCCTTCGTTATGTTCCTCGTCGGCGTGGAGTGATGAGTGTGTCTGTGGGTGTTTTTCGCTGTGCGGTCGCTGTCTGCTCCGTGTGTGTTTGCGTGTTCTGCGGGTGGAGCGGCTTTGTAGTTTACTGAAGTCGTGCTGGGACACTCGAGTGGATTCGTGTATGGGGCGCTCTGGATTGCAGGGCGCGCGGTCATTTTTTGATGCGGTTAGAGGCTTAAAACCGCGGCTAATCACCCGGAAAATACGGTAATTGGAAATGTGAACGACCTCGCAAAAAAAAATAAAATAAAAAATCTAATTTCACAAAAAAATCCAAATTGAGCTTTAAGCCCTGCAGTCTGAACGTAGCCTAAATCAGTTCTTTCTGGTCAGATTGTGTTAAAATAAAACTCAGATTAAAGTCTAATAAAACCTCAGACAGAGCAGTGCCTACAGTTAGCATCACGTTCACGCCATCAGCTGCAAAGTGTCCGTTGTAGGTTTTGCTTAATTGCCAGTAAATTCACTCTATTCGCATTTTACTTTAAGAATTGTAAGTTAAATTTGTGTAAACTTCGTGCAGATTTAGAGTTTTGTGGATGTAGTGAAGAAGTGAAAGTTCCTCTCAGTGAGACAGGGAAGTACTGATGCAATTTAAGCGGCTTCACTTCAGACTATGAAGTAAGAGGAGAGTGGTAAATGAGGTAAATTTAGGGCTTTGTGTCAGATGCCCTCCCGTCCCCGTGCTCGTACCTGATGACGTCGGATCGTCGGTGAAGTCGTGCAGTTCTTCGGGAGGGTCGCCGTAATAAGAGTTAAACTTGTGGCTTGACACTGCAGCCAAAACGGCGCCCTGAAAGACAAACAGTTTTTTAAAATTGAGATAAGATAAAATATTTCACAATTTAGATCAGAAAAAAGGACGTTAATTCATAATTTGTGATTTGTAATTAACGTAAGAGGTAAAAGAGAGTTGGTTTTGCAGATACAGTTTGCTTGTTAAAACACTTCACATCAAAATTGGGAATAAATTAGAACTAAACCAGGACTCAACTGGGACTAAATAACCAGGGCTTTATTAGGACTGAACCAGGACTAGATCAAGACTGAACCAGGACTAGATCAGGAGTAAACCAGTACTAAACCAGGGACTAAACCAGGACTAAACCAGGTCTAAACCAGGACTGAAACAGGACTAGATCAGAGACTAAACCGGGTCTAAACCAGGAATAAAACGGGACCAAACCAGGTCTAAACCAGGACTGAAACAGGACTAGATCAGGACTGAACCAGGACTAGATCAGGACTAAATCAGGACTAAAACAAGACTAAACCAAGACTAAACCAGGTCTAAACCAGGTCTAAACCCAGACTAAATCAGAGACTAAATTCAGGTCTAAACGAGGAATAAAACGGGACCAAACCAGGCCTAAACCAGGTCTAAACCAGGACTGAAACAGGACTAGATCAGGACTGAACCAGGACTGAACCAGGACTAAACCAGGAATAAACCAAGACTAAACCAGATCTAAACCAGGACTGAAACAGGACTAGATCAGGAATAAACAAGTACCAAACCAAGACTAAATCAGAGACTAAACTGGGTCTAAACCAGGTCTAAACCAGGTCTAGACCAGGACTAGATCATGACTACATCATGACTACACCAGTACTAGACCAGGACAAAACCAGAGACTAAACCAGATCTAAACCAGGTCTAAACTAGGAAGATACTACTACATAAATCTTATACATTTTGTGGATTACTGCAAGAAAGAACTTAAACTGAAAACCTGACATTGTGATGTTTAAATAAATTTGGTGTTTCATTTTAAATGTTTTTTGGCAGTATTTGTGTCTTTGCATTGGATCACCATACAAACTAATAAACATTCCGCCAAATAAACACATGTAGAAAACCCCCAGCATGACGTCACTGCGAAGCGTCAATAATAATGTGCATTTCAATCAATATACCATACATTTAGGTAAAGTAACGGCCTGTTAACTCTTTCCCCCCTGGACGCCTACTAGGAACAACCCATACATATGTTACTAGGGCTAAACATAGAGCAGAACTGCATAAAAGAAAACAGACTTCCACCAGTGATTAGAAATAAATTTTACACTCATGAACTTAATTGTAACACAGACATATTTGTATCTCTGGAAACCTTAGACTCTGAACTCTTCATTTATTGATGTTTAAATGTGATTCAACTCATTTATAGGTGTATAACAGCTCACTGAAAATGAGAGTTTACCTGGTCAGGTGCAAAATCGAAAACAAAAAACTACATTCAGCATCTGATATCTGCATGTTCTGAGTACTATATTCATAAAAAATTAAAAAATATACTTTGTCAAAGTATTTAAACAGATTTCATATCACCAGATACAGTATATCCAAGTGTGCACCTGTTTTTACCTGTTGTACACCTGTGTGCACCTGATTCATTTTTTCCATTTAGCTTATTCAACTTATTTAATTTATTCAACTCATTTAACTTATTCAACTAATTCAGCTTATTATAATATAATAATATAATAATAAAACTCTTTCCCCGTCAGTGTGTGTCCAGTATTTGTCGTCTTGGTTACTTTCTCGTGTGCAGAGCTCCGCATAAGCGTTTGTTCAGTAGCGATTCTGTTACATCGCATCTTGGAAAAAAAAGACTGAAATATTTTAAAGGACTCGCCTGGGCAACATCCAGATTTCAGGGCAATTTTGGTTCATAATCGAGTATAAAGCCCGGATAGTTTGTTCGGATATCGCAGGACTCCACACAGACGCATCAGCGGCATTCTCATCTTCGTAAGATTCACTCTCTGAAAGTCCGTCACTATCGCTGTTTTCCATTTTATAATCAACTTCATCATCACTTTGAAATCAATAAAAGTCACTTTCTCTAAACTTATCCATAAAATACGTCCGCTCCTCATTATTTCTAAAACTGTGCGCCGCGATCTTTCCATTGCTCGTGTTTCGTGTTGTGTTTTTTCCGGAAGCTACCATCGTCACTACTTCGATTAACTTCGGAAAAAATCTGCGAAAACATATCCTTGAATCCTATTGGTCAGTCTAGTGTGGGTTGTAGTGGCCCTGACCTATCGCAGTCTCTGTTTAAATGTGAAAAACCGAGCCATTTCTAAAGGTCGTCAAATCACGTCTTTAGTGATACAACGGAGGTGTCAAAAGTCGTCATTAAGGAAACAGGGGGGGTTGTCAAATGTCGTCTTCATGGGGGAAAGAGTTAAAGTTAAAATTACGGGGGAATTATTACTTAAAATGGCAGAGTTTCCGCTTTACCCACGTATAAGGGAAAACAGATAAATCTGAGAAGAATGAAACCACAAAAAACAAACACTGATCTGAGGCAGGACTGCAGAGCTCTGACTGCACAGCTGTGGTGAAATAAAACCACTTTACATTTGTTCACACGCAGAGAGACCAGAGACTGAGCTGCTGCTGCTGCTGCTGCTGTGTGAAACTCTACATTTACATCACGCAGTGGTTGTAGTGGAGCTCAAATTACACCTTATCTGATCTGTTCCAATGTCGAATCCACATCATAAACCGACTTGGGGTTGTGTTTTGTTTAACGTGAAATGACGAAAAGCAGACGACTTAGACTTGACTCGGACTTATGGGCCGAGACTCGACTTGGACTTGCCTGTATTTGACTTGGGACTTGACTTCTGTCATTGTTTAATACGGTTTGGCATTATAAGTACCTTTTAGTTCAACCTAAACACTGTCGGTCATGATCTATGGCAGGGGTATCAAACATACGGCACCCCAAGACCTTTAATCTGGCCCTCGGCTGAGTTTTCTACTCAAATATTTTAATTCTATTTTCTATTAAAATATTGCAAATTTTCTGCAGTGCTGAGCAGAGCAGCGTCTCTGTACGTGGCCCCTCCCACCAGAGCAGCACAAATGAAGACTTGTCTCTTTCCAAATGCTCTTAAAGGACGATGGTTTTGACTGTTGACCGTGACACCCTCATCAGAAAAATGTCCAACATGAGAAAAGTGGAGCCGAGTGCAGGATTTTACAAGAAAAATTTACTTATTCCTATTTACATACAAGTTCATGTTAAAACATTGTGTTGAAATTGTATTTTTCTTAAAGTCCCAGGTTGTTCATAATATTATAATGTTTTGTAAAAGAAAGAGTTCATCAATTAAAAAAGTAGATTTGCGTTTCTCTGCACAAATATTTAAACTTACTGTTATTTTTGGGGTTTTTATGCCTTGAGTTTTCTGATCCGGCTTCTTTGGGATCAAGGTAGGTTGGATATGGCCCCCGGACCAAAATGAATTTGACACCCCTGATCTATGGGATTGTAGTCTATGTTTTGTTATGTAGTGCTGCAAAATGACCAAATAAACTACTACTACTTCTACAGTTACTACAGCTACTACAGCTACTCCAGCTACTACTACTACTGCTACTGCTGCTGCTGCTACTACTACTACTACTACAGTTACTAGAGCTACTCCAGCTACTACAGCTACTCCAGCTACTACAGCTACTACTACTACTACCTTTAGCTTCCTCCTGGCGTTGAATTTCCTCAGCTGCTCCACGGTCTCGGGCAGGTGGATCTTGTAGGCGTACCTGTCCCTCTCCTGCACAAAAACACACAAACAAAAAACATGAAATTAAATTGAATCAATTTAAGTGCAATGAAAACAAAATAAATATATGTAAATTAGAGATAGTTGTTTTTGATGTAATGTTTCTGCGTATTATATCTAAATTTAGTTACCTTTTTTGAGTGATTTCTTATAAATAAAGACTTAAAATGCATGGTATGTGCTACTTTTTTAATTCATTTTTCAAGATGCACTGTGTAACTTTTATGGATACATCTTTGCTCTGCCTGGAATGTTCCACAGTGAGACTTTAAACCACTCTACTTTACATTTATTCAACTACAAGTGGTTTTACAGCTCAAAAATACCGAGGGAAAAACAGAAATTCTGACTGTGAGCGGCGTCGCCTCTCCACAGGTCTGACCTGTAACTTGGTCCGGTTTGGCCTCCATGACAATAGAAAGGTTTAATGCCATACTGTGAAACATTCCAGACAAACAGAGAAAACTTTTGACAGACTCTCTGCCAGAAAAGTTACACAATGCAGCTTTAACTTAAACTTAAAAATCTACTACTACTACTACTACTACTACTACTGCTACTACTACTACTACTACTACTACTACTACTACTACTACTGCTACTACTACTACTACTACTACTACTACTACTACTACGCTTCTACTACTACTACTACTACTACTACTACTACTACTGCTTCTACTACTACTACTACTACTACTACTACTACTACTACTACTACTACTACTACTACTACTACTACTACTACTACTACTACTACTACTACTACTACTACTACTAGCTTCTACTACTACTACTACTACTACTACTACTACTACTACTACTACTACTACTACTACTACTACTACTACTACTACTACTGCTTCTAGACTACTACTACTACTGCTTCTACTACTACTGCTACTACTACTACTGCTTCTACTACTTCTACTACTACTACTACTACTGCTTCTACTACTACTACTGCTTACTACTACTACTACTACTGAGGCCGGGTAAGAGTCAGGTTTGTGGAGATGCAAGTCCAATAAGACAAGCACACATTTTGAACAACCTGCTGAAAACATAAACAAATATATATATATATATATATATATATATATATATATATATATATATATATATATATATATATATATATATATATATATATATATATATATATATATAAACAAAAAACAAACATGCTTTCATTACAGTTTATGTTTGTGTTAAAAAGTTATTATTATGAACTTTTTTTTTTTTGCCTTGCCAGTTGTGGAAGCATGCAAACTCGTGCCAAAGGATATGAAAGCAGGTCTGTGGGTTTGAAAAGAGGAAACATTTTTGTGGTGATGAGTTTAGGTGAAACAAAGTAAATTACAAGAGAAGACAGTACCAACTTCCTTGATCAATTTGAGTAATTATCACGTGTTAAAATGATGACTAAAAACTCCACGGAGAGTTCAGCAAATGTTTTTCTCCATGGAGATGTTATTGCCTTGTCTGGAATGTTCCACAGTATAGATTAAATTCATCTATAACAAGAGAGACGAGCAGGTTACAGCTCTACGCTACATTACAGTTCAGATCTGTGGAGAAGCGTCCCTATGTACAGGAGAAATTAATGTATTTTTGAGCAACAGAAACACCTGTAATGAATAAATTCTAGATGGATAAGTTTAAAGTCATATTTGATTTGTGGGTCAAACTATTTCCAAACGCATGTACCGTATTTTTTGGAGTATAAGTGGCACTTTTTTTCATGGTTTGGGTGTTTCCTGTGACTTATACTCCGGTGCGACTTATATATTAAAATGTTCACAATGACAGACAGGGGGCGCTCTAGTCTTGTGTGTGAGTATCTGCTGCTCCTGTTCCTCCTGTACCACTGTCACTTGGCTCTACTGTGCATGTCTCCTGCAGAAAGAGCCTCTGTCCTGCTGCAAGTCGTGAAATCTGCAGCAGAAAACGATAATCGAGCAGCAGAAAGAAAGTTTGGAGTGAGAGAGAAACTTGTGACACCGGGAGGATGCACCATGAAACTTTCCTGAAGTCACTGGATGGATGGACAAAGTCTGGACTTCAGTGACACCGAAACCATCCTGTCGAGATTCAGAAAGACCCGAATAATTTTAATTTTTTCTGTTTACCTCCGGAGGTCGAGGCCGAGTTGTTCAGAAGTGACACCGAGGATGAAGAATTGAATGGATTTAGTGATTTGGAGTGAGATGGAGAGTTTGTTAAACTTTGTTCTGTTCTGTTGTTTATGTTATAGTTTATCTGAAGAACTGTTCATATGTGACGTTAACAGTCTGTTGTTCTCTCTTCTATTGTTTTTACTAGAACTTGACTTTAAGATGAAATGTCGGTTCTTGGTTTCTGATTTTATAAAATAAATTTCCCCCAAAAAAGTGCAACTTACATATGTTTTTTTCTTGTTCATTACACATTTTTTGGCTGGTGCGACTTATACTCCAGGGCAACTTATAGTCCAAAAAATACGGTAATCGAATTTGAAACGATAAAGCTTAACAAAGTTTATTTTTGGATATTTTATGTTTTAAATATAGATTGTAGAACAGCTGGATATATAGTTATTTTTGGATACATTGATATTTTTCTGCCTTATTTCATGTTCAAAGTATTTTGTATTCATTTTCAGTTTAATACATCGCAAAACTGCTCTAAGGTTCATATTTGTAGCCTATATTTATTTTCAATTTTAAAGTTTGTGTAAATTATCAATAACAAATAGGTTTTTTTTGAGATAGAGAGAAATGCTGAATAAATCCATCGTGTAACTAAAAAATAATCGTGACCAAAATAATGGTGATAATCATTTTTTCCATGATCGAGCAGCTCTAGACAAAGCGCTCTAAGAGCATCTCCACCAGAAAAGTTGCACAGTGCACCTTTAAAAATGTTGCTCAAAACAAAAGTAAAAATGAAACTTATAAAGAGGTGTGAAAAATGTTTGAGGAGCTGTGAAAAATGAGAAATGACGTGTCAAATCCACAGCCTCCTTACACACACACACACGCACAGAGAGGAGGACACGGGCTAACCACTCTGCCGCCGTACCTTGAGCCAGGGGTGGTTGAGCGCTTCATACACGGTGATCCTCTCGGCCGGATCCAGCATGAGCATCCGTCTGACCAGGTCTTTGGCGCTCTCCGAGATGTGTGCCCACTGACGAGGATTCATCTGGAGGAAAATACAAAAAATAACTACAATGATGAAACAAAATGCTTAAAGGTCCCATATTACGCAAAAATGACCCTTGTGACCTTTAAGTCATATTATAATGCTTTCACTTCCTCAAAAACAGACCTGGAGTTGCATTTTGTTTCAGTCACATGTTTGAGACTTTATTATTAGTCTGTCTACGTCTTCAGGAAGTGGTAGTTTTAACAGCTTTCAACAACTCCTTTTGCCTTTAGGTGGTGTCTGTGAAACTGTGAAGTTTTTATTCGTTTTGGCCTTTGGCCACACGGAGCCGGCGTTTCAGGTTCCAGAATCAAGAAATCTGAGAATGTCGGCGTTGCGTCGTGTGGACAAGCAAACCACAGCTTTTGGAAAACGATGACATCGCGATGTCGTCATGACCAGAAGACCCCGTCAAGACCAGAAGACCCCGTTGTGACCCCGTGATGACCTGAAGACCCAGTCATAATCAGAAGACCCCGTCGCGGCCTCGTCATGACCATCAAGACCCCGTCGTGACCAGAAGACCCCGCCGTAACCTCGTCATGACCAGAAGACCGCGTCATGACCAGAAGACCGTGTCATGACCAGAAGACCCTGTCATGACCAGGCGACCCCGTCGCGACCAGAAAAACACTGTAACACCACATGACATCACAAAGCTGAACAGAGTGTTTTCAGTTTGAGAGAAGAACTCAGCCTAAATCTACAGGGTTTGTGTGTTAAATAGGTGTGAATGAAAAAAACCTTCAGAACTTCAGAACAGTTTGTGATGAGGAAACAACATTAGAACACAGATCAGAGAGTAGTATAAATAATAAAGGCCCTTTAATGCCGATAGCTGATGCAAAAAATGTCTTATCTCTTTTTTTTTTTTTTTACCTTATATTTCCCCTTGATGATGGCCTCAAACAGACGCTCCTTGGTGCCGTAGAAGGGCAGACATCCGGACAGAAGAATGAACAGGATCACGCCACAGCCCCACACGTCCACAGGTTTACCGTAGGGCTCTCTCTTCACCACCTCAGGGGCCATGAAGTGAGGAGTACCCACACGACCTACAGCCGGGAGAGACAGGAGCAGTCAGGAGCAGTACAGAGCAACACCGTGGGTACAAAATTAACCTTTTATTTAGGGCACAATCACTCTGGGTTTTTTGAATCTTTATGAACTTGGGCTTGATTGTGTCTCGCTCTATGGCCCAATACAGAGTTCCATATATAAGCAGGGATGTAACGATATCCAAATCTCACGGTACGATAATTATTGCGATATTTTGTAGGGTTTAACAGAATTGTACATACGCTATTTTTTTCCTTTTTAAATACCTTGACCAGTCTTCAGTGTGAATCATTACTAGGGCTGGGTATCATTAAGAAGTTGCCGATATGATACATGCCTCGATACACAGGCCACGATACGATACATATCTCGATACAGTGCACTTTCGATTTGATATATTTCAAATCGATTCGATACGGTTCAATAAAAAATAAAGTCTAAATCATGGCTGTGATACTAAAGTCTTTGTTAAACCATTTCTTGTGCAAAGTTCATATGAAACACAAACATTTTAATCATCAAAACAGTGAAAATGTCAAATGTGTCACATAAATGAGTTTCCTTTCACTCCACAAGCAACAAAACTGTAGCTCTGTAACAAAATAATTTAGTAAAACACACGTAAAAATACTCTTTCTGATATATTGATACAGTAGCCCACGATATCGATACTGTATCATCACATTAAACAATATGATATATCGATATTCCGATATTTTGGCACACCCCTAATCATTACTGCCCTATTACAATGATATAAGATTTAAAAGTGCTTAATAACAGTTATTTTTATTATGTAGTAAAGTAAGTAAAGGATCATGGTCTATGCCAGACATGTCAAACTCAGGCCCACGAGATCATATCAAATTTGTATTAGATCTGACCCGCCGGCTAAAGATATAGAACTCTACAGCTATAGAGACATAATTTATTTAAAATGTTATTATTTTTATTTGTTATTTTGCTTGTTCTGGATCCAGTGTTTAAGTAAAACCATTATTAAACATTTATTTTAATAAGAAAACATATCTCAAAAGAACAGAAAACATGATGTTGCAGATGCAGATGTTGAAATTTTCAATAAAATATTTAGTTTGACCCACGACTTAGTCCCAGTTTTTAATTTTACCTATGCAGTTCCCTCTTTTTAAATACTTTTAACTGAAAAACCTTGCAATTCGATATATTGTGATGGACCACGATATTATTTTGTGATAGTTCCGACGATGCGATATCACGATATTTCGGTTATTGATAAATCTCTACATACAAAGAATAAAAATGTATTAACGGACAAAATAAAAAGTAAATAAATAAACAGCAGGATCACATAGAGTGCGTTAATATGAACATTTTAAGACCAAAATGAGGATCCTGACATCAGCAGTTACAGAGGAAGAGGTGATATTTTTCAGTTAATAATTGAACTGGAGCCGGAGTTGATGGAGCCATAAGCGAGCCCATGCTCACTTCCTATTTGTAAAGCGGCGGCTCACGGGTTAGCTACACTACTGGTCAAAAGTTTTTTTTACTGTTTACTGTTGACCAAAAGTTTTCTAAACTTCTGATTGATGAAAGTGTCCACCTTTGGCAGATATAACAGCTGAACACACTCGTGGCTCGTTCTTTTTTACAACAGAAATCAAATATTCTTCAGAAAGTTCTTCCCAAGTCTGTCGCAGAAGTTTCCATAAATGTGTGGCACTTGTAGGTTGCTTCACTCTTCTGTCCAGTTCATCCCAAACCAGCTCGATGGGGTTTAAATCTGGACACTGTGCTGGACACTTCAAGTTTTCAAGCTTTACCGTCTTGTTCTTTTTTCCTGAGGTAGTTTTCACGACTTGAATTGCAATAAATAACTGGAAAAATTAGGGTGTTCTAAAACCTTTGACCGGTACTGTATGTCCTTTTACAGTCTGCACTCTTTAGGAGCAGTTAGACGTGTGAGTGTTCTCCGAGAGTCGGGTACGCTCCAGGATTTAAAAAAAAAAAAGTGAAATAAAATAGACTTTACCTCCAGCCACGAGTCCGGACTCCCCAAGCTGGATGGCCACCCCAAACCCTCCGAGCTTCACGGGAGCAGAGTTCTCTTTGGAGGCCAGCAGCACACAGTGAGGCTAAAAAAAAAACACAAACACAATACAGTATTCAGGTCTGGTTCCAGGTTTAGTTCTGGGTCGGTCCTGGTTTTATTTAGTCCGGGTTTAGGTTATCTGGTCACCTGCTCGTATCCAGGGAGAAGTATCGCTTTGTCTGAAATGTTCCACAGCATTAAATTAAAATATTACTTGCATTTATTCAGTTACAGGATTTGAATGTCTTGATTTCAGCAATAGCGTTTCCATGGAGACGGCCTTCCACCAGAAAAGTTACACAGCGCACCTCCAAGTCAAGTTCAGGTCGAGTTAACTGTTTGACAGAGCGAGATTTTCTCTTTTCAGACAAAACTAGGTCTATATCAGGTTTAAACCAGAACTAAACCAGGACTATAGCGGTATTCTATCCAGACTAACCTAGATCTATATCAGGTTCAAATAACAGCAAAAATCAGGACTAAATGAGAACTAAATCAGGATTATTTTGGTATTATTTCCTGATGAACCAAGGTCTATATCGGGTTCAAACCAGAACTAAACCAGGACTAATACAGTATTATATCCAGACTAACCTGAGTCTGTATTAGGTTCAAACCAGGGCAAAAACAAGACTTAACCAGAACTAAAACCAAAACTAAAAGAAGACTACGCTACAGTACTGTATCCAGACCAACTAAGATCTATATCAGGTTCAAACAAGAGCAAAACCAGGACTATTATTGTATTATAAACACACTGACCTAGATCTGTATCCAGTTCAAATCAGTGCAAAAACAAGACTAAACCAGAACTAAAAGAGGACTACAGCGGTATTGTATCCAGACTAACTAAGATCTATATCAGGTTCAAACCAGAACTAAACCAAGACTAAACCAGAACTAAACCAGGACTATTGTTGTATTATAACCACACTAACCTAGATCTGTGTCAGGTTAAAACCAGGGCAAAAAAAACAAAACGGACTAAACCAGAACTAAACCAGGACAATTGTTGTATTATAACCACACTAACCTAGATCTGTGTCAGGTTAAAACCAGGGCAAAAAAAAACAGGAGTAAACCAGAATTAAACCAGGACTACGCTGGTATTGAATCCAGACTAACCTAGATCTATATCAGGTTCAAACCAGGGCAAAAAACAGGACTAAACCAGAACTAAAAGAGGACTACAGCGGTATTGTATCCAGACTAAGATCTATATCAGGTTCCAACAAAGGCAAAAAAACAGGACTAAACCAGAACTAAACCAGGACTACACCGGTATTCTATCCAGACTAACCTAGATGTCCATCAGGTTCAAACAAGGTGTGTAAAACAGGACTAAACAGGAACTAAACCAGGACTAAAAGAGGACTATTATTGTATTATAACCACACTGACCTAGATCTGTATCAGGCTCAAATCAGTGCAAAAACAGGACTAAACCAGAACTAAACCAGGACTACACCGGTATTCTATCCAGACTAACCTAGATGTCCATCAGGTTCAAACAAGGGTGTAAAACAGGACTAAACCAGAACTAAACCAGGACTAAAAGAGGACTATTATTGTATTATAACCACACTGACCTAGATCTGTATCAGGCTCAAATCAGTGCAAAAACAGGACTAAACCAGAACTAAACCAGGACTACGCTGGTATTGAATCCAGACTAACCTAGATCTATATCAGGTTCAAACCAGGGCAAAAAAACAGGACTAAACCAGAACTAAAAGAGGACTACAGCGGTATTGTATCCAGACTAAGATCTATATCAGGTTCCAACAAAGGCAAAAAAACAGGACTAAACCAGAACTAAACCAGGACTACACCGGTATTCTATCCAGACTAACCTAGATGTCCATCAGGTTCAAACAAGGGTGTAAAAGCGGAAATGGCGCAAGTCAAACCTCCAGGTTCATTATGAGATTTACAGAGGAACAATGCATATGTACAACTACACTTTGAGTAAAACAAGAGAGAAGTATTTTTCGGACATTATTGGTAATTGCAGTAACAACTCTCGTGTCCTGTTTGCAACAGTGAACAGATTAACAAACCCTCCAGCTCCACTGCCACTAGAACTAATTTCCACATCTAAATGTAATGAGTTTGCAGTTTTCTTTAATGACAAAGTTCAGGGCATCAAAAATGCCATCAATTCCACAACACAAATAACAAGCATGCAGCCACAGAGACACTTAGAGCTGAATCACTTTGCACCTGTAACTGACAAAACTGTTTTAGAGATCGTTACCAGTCTGAGTTCATCTACTTGCTGCCTGGACATGTTACCCACTAGATTTCTAAAGTCCGTCCTCAACAGTTTTACTTTCACCACTCACTCACATAGTTAACATGTCACTTCAATCTGGAACATTCCCAAATGCGTTGAAAACTGCGGTCATTAAGCCTCTCCTAAAGAAGAGCAGTCTTGATGCCACAGTACTGAACAATTTCCGACCCATCTCAAATCTGCCGTTTTTTGGCAAAGTCCTTGAAAAAGCTGTTTACCAACAGCTTACGAATTTTCTCCAAATGAACAACTCCTTTGATGTTTTCCAGTCAGGTTTTAGAGCCCACCACAGCACTGAGACTGCTCTTATCAAGGTGACAAATGACATCCGCCTGAACACTGATGCAGGCAAAGTCTCAGTCTTGATCCTGTTAGATCTGAGTGCTGCTTTTGACACTGTCGATCATGGGATCCTCTTACAGAGACTAGAGGACTGGGTGGGCATCTCTGGTACTGTACTAAACTGGTTCAAGTCCTATCTAGAAGACAGGAAGTATTTTGTTGAAATTGGAAACTGTGTCTCAGATGACATGGCCCTGACCTGTGGGGTGCCTCAGGGGTCAATCCTGGGCCCCCTGTTGTTCAATCTCTACATGCTGCCATTAGGCCAGTTAATAAGCAGCAATAACGTGTCGTACCATAATTATGCAGACGACACTCAGATCTACGTCTCTCTGGCAGCAGGAGACTATGGACCAGTGGAGTCACTTGGTCACTGCATCCAACAGATCAGTGTGTGGATGCAAAACAACTTTCTCCAGCTAAACTCTGACAAGACTGAAGTCATAGTCTTTTGGTCCACAGAAACAAAGGGACAGTGTCAGCAGTCACCTCCAGTCTCTCGCTCTAAAACCTTCAAATCAGGCAAGAAATCTAGGGGTAATAATGGACTCAGACTTGAACTTTAACAGTCACATAAAATCAATAACATCTGCAGCCTTTTACCATCTAAAAAACATAGCAAAAATCAAAGGTTTACTGTCTAAATCAGACTTGGAGAAACTTATCCATGCATTTGTCTCCAGTAGGTTAGACTACTGTAATGGTCTGCTCACTGGTCTCTCCAAACGAGCTGTGAGACGCTGCAGAACATCCAGAACATCCAGAACGCTGCAGCTCGGGTCCTTACTCGAACTAGGAAGTACGAGCACATAAGTCCTGTGCTCAGGTCTCTGCACTGGCTTCCTGTGCCTCAGAGAATAGACTTTAAAGCAGCTCTGCTTGTGTGCAAGTCTCTCCATGGCCGAGCACCAAAGTACATCTGTGACATGTTAGTGTCATATGAACCATCTCGCACTCTGAGGACCTCAGGGACCGGCCTCCTGCTGGTGCCCAGAGTCAGAACTAAACAAGGGGAGTCAGCGTTTCAGGTTCATGCAGCTAAAACCTGGAACAGTCTTCCTGAACATGTGAGACAGACCTCTTCTGTGACGCTGTTTAAATCCAGACTCAAAACATTTCTGTTTAACTGTGCATATAACTGAAAGGTTTTCATTCCGCACTCTTCTCTCCAATTTATGTCTCTCTTTTTTAATTTTAATCTTCATGATTATTTATGTTTTGATTTGTTTTTATTATGATTTTAATGTATTTCTTATTCTGTAAAGCACTTTGAATTACTTTGTGTACGAATTGTGCTATACAAATAAACTTGCCTTGCCTTGCCTAAAACAGGACTAAACAGGAACTAAACCAGGACTAAAAGAGGACTATTACTGTATTATAACCACACTGACCTAGATCTGTATCAGGCTCAAATCAGTGCAAAAACAGGACTAAACCAGAACTAAACCAGGACTACGCTGGTATTGAATCCAGACTAACCTAGATCTATATCAGGTTCAAACCAGGGCAAAAAAACAGGACTAAACCAGAACTAAACCAGGACTAATTACACACAGACAAAGGCAGATGTATATCAGGTTCAAACCAGGACCAAACAAAGACAAAACCAGCCTCAAACCAGACTTTACGTAAACTGTGCCAAAAATATAACATCATTCTGCCGAAAACTTCCAGGAATTTGTTTTTTGTTTTGGCCTTTTTGGTTTTCTTAAGAGCAAAGGTGACATTTTGAGCCGAGACATGATTGTAGATAAAGTTGTGCAGAACCGCGAGCAGACGGGACGGGGTTTGTGTGCAAAAGTGCATGGAGTCGAGGCTCATATGCACAAGAAAATCGACGGTGGTTTCAGAAAGAATCTTCAATTCGAGAAACTGAAACCACAAAGTCAAAGTGCGAGAGGAGGCAGCAGCACAGAGCGGGGCAAAACACACGGGTTAAGTCTGATTAAATGTGATAGGATCATTTCACACTTAAATATTATTAGAAAACTTAGTCACTGTTTACTTTCAGTTCAATTTTTTGTTTTCATAATTTACTGTAGTAGTAGTAATAGTAGGAGTAGTTTGGGCTGCAGTATGATACATATCTCAATACAGTGCACTTTCAATTTAGTACGATATATTTCAATAAAAAATAAAGGTTAAATTGGTCTATGTTGAACCACTTCTTTTGCAAAGTTCATATGAAACACAAACATTTTACTCATCAAAACAGCGAAAATGTCAAATGTGTTGCGTAAATGAGTTTCCTTCCTGTAAACAAGCAACAAAACTGCAGCCCTGGAACAAAATAATTTAGTAAAATGTATCAAAAAATACTCTTGGCGATTAGGGTTGTGTACATTCAGAAGTTGCCGATACGATACATACCTCGATACAAAGGCCATGATACGATACATACCTCGATACAAAGGCCATGATACGATACAAAGGCCACGATATGATACATACTTCGATACAAATGCCACGATATGATACATACTTCGATACAAATGCCACGATATGATACATACTTCGATACAAATGCCACGATATGATACATACTTCGATACAAAGACCACGATATGATACATGTCTCAATACAAAGGCCATGATACAATACATATCTCAGTACAGTGGGATTTCGATTCAGTTCGATACGATATATTTCAAATCAATTAGATACGGTTCAATAAAAGTGTCTTTGTTAAACCACTTCTTGTGCAAAGTGAATATGAAACACAAACATTTTAATCATCAAAATGGCAAAAATGGCAAATGTGTTGCATAAACGAACAAGCAACAAAACTGTAGCTGTAACAAAATAATTTTGTAAAATATACAAAAAAATACTCTTGGCGATATATTGATACAGCAGCCCACGATATCGATACTGTATCATTACATTAAACGGTACGATATATTGATATTTCACTATTTCAATATTTTTGCACACCCCTAGTAGTAGTAGTAGTAGTAGTAGTAGTAGTAGTAGTAGTAGTAGTAGCAGCTAATATTGCTGATACACTACATGCGTCCATAGAGACAAGCTAAGGAGATGGACATTTGAGGTGCTATAAGTTTTTTTTTTACACCATATATGGTAGAAAATGTGGCAAAACATCTTCAGAGGAAATACTTTAAGGCAGACAATTCAAACTGAGGCCCGGGGGCAAAATTTGGCTCGTGATATAATTATATTTGGCCCACAAGATCATTTCAAATATGTATTAGAGCTGGACCGCTGGCTACAGATCGACTATAGAAACATTATTTATTTAAAATGTTGTTACTATTTTATATTTTGCTTGTTCTGGATTCAGTGTTTAATCAAAACAATTATTAAACATTTACTTTAATAAGAAAAGGTTTAACATTACATATCTTGAAAGAAGAAAAACATGGAGATGTTGTTGAAATTTTTCAATAAATATTCAGTTTGGGCCACGACTTAGTCCCAGTTTTTAATTTCGGCCCTCTGTGAATTTGAGTTTGACGTCCCTGCTTTAAGGGAATGAACACATGAGGGAGTGATGTGAAATGTTTCTTTTTCTCATATCCATGGAGACAAAGGTGCAAATGGGCAAAAAGGCCAGATAAAGAGACAGCTACGGACATTTGAGACGCTACGGGTTTTTTACACCATATGTGGCAGCAAATGTGGCAGAAGACCTTCCAGAAGAAACACTTTGAGAGAATAGACCATTTAATCAACGACCGAAACGCCAGAGTGGAGTAAGAACGAGGCCTTTCCTGTTCCCTGTGACGCTGCAGGACACAGAGGAGGAACATTTTTGTCTCTTCCACAGATCTGCTGACCCTCCCTGACCGGTCCTCCTGCGCTGAGACGCAAAGGTAAAGACGCGCGGAGGAAACGTGGCAGCAGCAAAACTTGAATTTTCCTCTGGATAGATAAAGTCTCTCTCTCTTTCTGTTGGTTTTTGTTGTTTTTGTTTACCATTTTCTACATTTTATATACACATGGAAGTCTTCTGTGTGTATATAAAATGTAGAAAGTGGTAAAAATAAGCAAAAAATATATATAAATGAGGGTGTGTCTTTGGACTGATAGTGTGTGTGGTTTGCAGAAGTGCGTCAAATGTGGATGTGGTTTTGCCCGATAAATAAAATTAGGGAACAAATATGTCATTGTATTTTACCTGATGTCGTTTGTTGAATGGTGGGAAATAAAATCAGCAAGAGGAAGATGTTTGGGAAAAAAACACACAGAACAGATGATCAAGCCACAGATAAAGAAAGAGAAAGAAGAGGGAAGAGAGAGAAAGAGAAAGAGAGAGCGCAGCGGGAAGAGAGAAAGAAAGGGGGAGTAGAGAGAGAAGGGAGAGACACACACACACACAGACAGAGAGAGAAGAGAGAGAGCAGGGCAGGGGGAGAGAGGGAGAGAGAGAGAAGGGGGGCAGAGAGACAGAGAGTGAGAGAGAGAGAGAAAGGGGGAGCAAAGGGAGAGAGAGAAGAGAGACAGGGGCAGAAAGGAGAAAGAAGGAGAGTGAGAGAGGTAGAGAGAGAGAAAAGGGGAGCAGAGAGAGGGGAGAGAGAAAAGAGACAGTGGCAGAGAGGAGAGAGTGGAAGAGAGAGAGGGGTGGGAGAGAGGGAGAGACACACACACACAGAAAGAGAGAGAGAGAGAGAAAGGGAGCAGAGAGGGAGAGAAAGAGTGAGAGAAGAGAGAGACGGTGGCAGAGAGGAGAGAGAGGAAGAGAAAGATTGGGGAGAGAGGGAGAGGAGAGGGAGAGAGACAGAGAGAGAGAAGAGAGAGCGGGGCAGAGAGGAGAGAGAGAGAGACACACACACAGAGAGAGAGAGAGAGAGAGAGAGAGAAAGAAAGAAAGAGAGAAAGGGGGAGCAGCAAAGGGAGAGAGAGAGAAGAGAGACAGTGGCAGAGAGGAGAGAGAGGAAGAGAAAGAAAGAGGGAGAGAGAGAGAGAGAGGAGAGAGAGAGAGAGAGAGAAGAGAGACCGGGACAGAGAGGGGAGAGACACACACACACAGAGAGAAAGAGAAAGAGAGAAAGGGGGAGCAGAGAGAGGAGAGAAAGAGAGTGTGAGAGATGGTGGCAGAGAGGAGAGAGGTAGAGAGAGAGAGAGAGAGAGAGAGAGAGAAAAGTGGAGCAGAGCGAAAGGGAGAGAGAAGAGAGACGGTGGCAGAGAGGGGAGAGAGGGAGATAGAGAGAAGAGGGAGAGAGTGAGGGGAGAGAGGAGAGGTAGGGGGAGAGGTACAGACGGAAAGAGAGAAGAGGGGAGTAGAGAGAGAGAGAGAGAGAGAGAAAGAAAAGAGACACAGTGAGAATTAGAGAGGCAAAGAGGGGAGGGAAAGAGAGAGAGAGTGAGGGGAGAAGGAAAAAGAGGAGAGAGAAGAGGGAGAGAGGAAGAGGGATAGAAGTAAAGAGAGGAAAGGGAAGTACAGAGACAGAGAGAAGAAGAAGAAGAAGAGAGAGACAGAGACACAGAAACACAGAGAGACAGAGAGAGAGAGAGAGGGAGAGAGAGAGAGAGAGAGAGAGAGAGAGAGAGAGAGAGAGAGAGAGGGAAGAGAAAGGAAACTTGAGGGTGGGCAAAACGAGCTCGAGTTAAAACCACCACAGCAGCAAATTCAGTCAGACGACGACAGACAGAGAGAGAAAGAGGAGATACAAACACTTACTGATCTTTTATCAAAATGAACGATCAATTTGAATAAAAAAAAGTGATTTGGAGCAAAAGAGAGGACGCTGCAGGATTCTCTGACGACTAAAGGTGAGTTAAGAAAAACACTGAGGAGATAATAATTCACAATTTTATATCAGCCAAGGTTTATTTAACTTAATCTACGGCAAAAGTACACAACAGAATTTTTGTTTTTAGGGTGATTTTAAAGTGTACACTCATTTAAAGTCTCTGTAATTCATTTTTACTGCGTAAAAAAAAAAAAAAAAGAAGTTAATTTGAAACAGTTTGCAGTGGTCCAAAGTTATTCCTCAGTTGCTTTATGCACTCAGAACATCGTAATTATTCACCACGATGAGTTTATAATCGCTTTTGACAACTTTTAACTAACAAAACTATCATGCAAACAGCGCACTGCCTGATTCTCGGACACTACAACGCTTTATAATTCGATGGGAACAGCTCACAGCGGACTTATTTTGACCTCAAGAGCTGCTTTTACAACGTATCAGTACTGGAGAAGACAAAAAAAATGAAGTATAAGGTCTTTAAATGTCAAGTTGAACAGTTAAAATTGGATCTAAAACAGAAATTAAGCCAAACTAAGTCAAATTCTTCAAATGTTAGTAGTTCCGAGTCGTTTCTTTTCATTACATTTAGTCATTTTTTTGTCATTTTGCATGATTTGAATTGCAAATTATGTTTTAATAATAAGATTCTGCTCAAAGTTCACATTTTAAACATGCAAAAAAGAAAATAAAAAATTCTATATTACATAAAATTGACTCTCGTGAGCTTTAAGTCGTGTTATAATGTTGTTACTTCCTCAAAAACAGACCTGGAGTTGCGTTTTGTTTCATTCACATGTGTTTATTATTAGTCTGTCTACATTTCCAAAGCTCAAAATGCTCTGCTCCACCTTGTGATGTCACGAGGAGGTAGTTTTTTTTTTTCAAGTTGAACAGCTCCATTTACTAGGGATGGGCATTCGATTAAATTTTCTTAATCGATCGTCGGGAGAATTAACGATTAATCATTAACGTTTTTATATTAAAATGATCATCATTATTATTACTATCTGCACTACTAATCTGCATAAATAAATTCAACTTTACGACATATAAACCGTAACGACTCTAGAGCCACATCAGCCCGTTTGACATTATAATGTGTTTAATGCAGATTTGTGAAAGTCTCACAGAAACGAAACTTAAAACCACATGGCTCATTTGCATAAACTAAGCAAAAAAAAAAAAAAAACAGCTCTTGTGGCTGATGCGGTTTAACTTCTGTCGGACTAAAAGACACGATTCAGTGGAATACAGGTTAGGGTGACTGTATTTGCATTTGTCAAAACCAAAACACTGTACGCTGTGCACCCACTCCCACTTGTCTCGACCGGGACGGAAAGCGTGGAATTTCTTCTACAAGTCTTCGTTAAATGCGCATTTCTGCTTTGGCATGTTGCAGGCTCACCGACTGTTTGTGTCTCGCTCCTTCTGATGCACGGAGCTACGAGGACGTTCAGTTTAATGCCCCAATGAAAGGAAATGAAAACCTGAACATTTGCATCACTTTATAAAAAAACTAAACAAACAGATGGCCAGAACAGGACGTGGAAAACTGACATGTCCGGGAAAAAACGGACGTTTGGCCACCCTACGCTACGCACAGCAACCTACATTCGGTTTGTCGATTAAAAATGAACGTAATCGACGAAATTCTTAATGATCAATTATCGATTAATCGACTAATCGTGCCCATCCCTACTGTTTACCTTTCGTTCAGTAGAGATTGGCAACTCCAGAGCTGAAATTATCCAAATTATTCTAGTTAAAATGCAAGTTTGAGAGAAGAACTCAGCCTAAACGTGACTGAAACAAAACAAAAAAAAAACACAACTCCAGGTTTGTTTGCGATGACGAAACAACACGACAGCAGATCGGAAAATAGTGTAACATCAGCGCTATAAACAATTCAGCGATATGTTTTCAAACCCTCAGCAACATCTGCCCGCAGTGCATTTGAGTCATGAATAAATAGTTCCTTCCTTTTTCTTGAAATTTCATCACTGAACTTCTTGTTTCTAAACTCGCAGCTGATTTTGACCACAACGCCGCATTCCGACTCGACCGGGCCTCGCAGAATATACACTTTTATGCAACAGAATCGAACAGGAACTTCGACCGCGGTTAACCAGGTGCACATCAAGAGCTTTTAAAACACGTCATTTATGATAAAGCCTGCAAAAAGCAAAATAATATTCTAAAAGGTCAGAAAGATATTACGCAAAATGTACTCTTCTGACCTTTAAGCCGTGCCTCGTCGAAGACAGAGCTGGAGTTTTGTGTTTTGTTTCATTTGCACGTTTGAGTCATTTGTTATTCATCTGACTACATCTCTACAGCTCTAAATGCTCAGTTTTCACACTCTGTTTTCACACTCTGTTCTCACCTGGTTTAGACCTTATTTAGACCTGGTTTAGTCCTGGTTGAGTTTTGGTGTAGCACTTGCTAAATCCTGCTTTCGCCTTGGTTCAGACCCGTTTCAGACCTGTTTCAAACTTGGTTCAGAACTGGTTCAGACTGTATTTAGTCCTGGGTTTAGTCCTGCTTCAAGCCTGGGTTTAGTCCTAGCTCAAACTTGGCTGAGTCCTGGCTAAGACCTAGTTTAGACCTAGTTTAGGCCTAGTTTTGACTTAGTTTTGATCTAGTTTAGGCCTAGTTTTGACTTAGTTTTGACCTAGTTTTGGTATGTTTTGGCCTAGTTTTGAGCTAGTTTGGACCTAGTTTAGACATGGTTTTGACCTAGTTTAGGCCTACTTTAGACCTAGTTTTAACCTAGTTTTGGTCTAGGTTTAGCCTAGTTTGGAGATAGTTTGGATATAGTTTGGACCTAGTTTAGATATAGTTTTGACCTAGTTTAGATGTAGTTTTGACCTAGTTTAGATGTAGTTTTGACCTAGTTTAGATGTAGTTTTGACCTAGTTTAGATGTAGTTTTGGCCTAGTTTAGATGTAGTTTTGACCTAGTTTAGGCCTATGTTTGGCCTAATTTGGAGATAGTTTGGAGATAGTTTTGACCTAGTTTAGATGTAGTTTTGACCTATTTTAGGCCTACTTTAGACCTAGTTTTAACCTAGTTTTGGCCTAGGTTTGGCCTAATTTGGAGATAGTTTGGACCTAGTTTAGACCTAGCTTTGACCTAGTTTAAATGTAGTTTTGACCTAGTTTAGGCCTACTTTAGACCTAGTTTTAACCTAGTTTTGACTTAGTTTGGACCTAGTTTAGGCCTAGTTTGAAACTAGTTTGCACCTAGTTTAGATGTAGTTTTGACCTAGTTTTGACCTAGTTTGGATCTAGTTTAGACCTAGTTTTGACTTAGTTTGGACCTAGTTTAGGCCTAGTTTTGGCCTAGTTTGGAGCTAGTTTGCACCTAGTTTAGATGTAGTTTTGACCTAGTTTGCACCTAGTTTGGAGCTAGTTTGGACCTGGTTTAGACATAGTTTTGACCAGTTTAGGCCTAGTTTAATCTTAGTTTAGTCCTGGTTCAGTCCTAATATTCTCAAAGGTCGTAAAATATCACACAAAATGTACTCTTGTGACCTTTATGCCGTGTTATAATGTCTCATTATCTCGTCACAATCAGACCTGGAGTTGTGTTTTGTTTCATTCACGTGTGTTTTTGAGTCATTTATTATTCATCCTTCTACATCTCTAAAGGTGTAAATGCTCTGTAGTTTCACAGCTCACAACTTTTAACTTTAATTCAGTGGAGATTGGCAACTCCAGGGCTGAATTTATTATTATTAGAAAGAAGAACTCAGCCTAAATATTCAGCGTTTGTGATTTACCATGTGTGAAGGAAAGAAAACACAACTCCAGGTCTGTTTGTGATGAGGAAACAACATTCACTGCAAAAAAAAAACAAACAAAAAATCTAGCCAAGTTAAGATGACTTGAATTAGGAAAGTTTTATCACGATTTAAGTAAATTTCACTGCCAGTGGAATAAGACTTTTGTACGTAAAATATAAAAACACATCTTGCTAAACTGAAAATGATACAAACAACTTTTTGCGCTTAAAATAAGAAACAAAATCAAATGTTGCTTGAATTACGAAAAACACACTTATCCCACTGGCAAATAATTTTACTTCTCAAGCTAAATAAACTCAAATAAAGTAAAATATTCTTAATTTATGTCATTTTTAACTTACCTAGATAATCTGCACCGTTGCCATGGCGATTAACAAATTAAATCAACTTATTTTATCTTTAAAAAGCAAATATTATTACGTTGATCTATATCGCAAAAAACACAAAACAAAGTATAGCAAAATAACAGCAAAGCTACTCCAACCCTCTGAATTCCACTATTTGTTTGTTTTTTAAAGCTGCACTATGTAACTTTTTGGAAATATATAACTGAGTTGATTTGAATGTTCCGCAATAGGGCCGTAAAAAAGACAGATTTTAATAATAATGTTTCTTTTAAGTCCTATTTAAGTCTATGTTGTGGTATTATTTTCACACAGTTTGACTCGTAAGTGAATGAATGTAGATTTTGTTTTTAATTTAACTGAAAACCCCAAAGTACAGTCACTCATTTCTTCTTTATAAAAACATTTCTTCTGATTAATCTGTGGGTCTTTTGTGCAGAGGTGAAGAAGTGCCTTTTGTAAATACCAACGGGTGATTTCCCGTTTAACTTCAACGCGACCTTCAAGAGCTTAGTCACCACATTTGAATCTTACTCAAGCGTAAGCAACTTTAGTCTGGGTTCAGGTCAGGGTTAGTCTGGATTTATATCTGGTTTAGAACTGATTCTGATTTTGAGCTGGTTTTGAGCTGGTTTTGACCTGATGCTGACCTGATTTTGACCTGGTTTCAACTTTTGTTTTCGACCTGGTTTAAACCTGATTCAGACCTGATTTAATCCTGGTTTAGATCTGGTTTAGACCTGGTTTAAACCTGGTTTAGACCTGATTTAGATCTGATTTAGACCTGGTTCATACCTGTTTTAGACCTGGTTTAAACCATGTTGACCTTGTTCAGTCCTGGTTAAGTCTTTGACCTTGTTCAGTCCTGGTTAAGTCTTGGTTCAGGCCTCGTTTAGACCTTGTTTAGACAGTGTTTAGTCCTGGTTGAGTGATGGTTTAGCACTTGCTAAATCCTGCTTTAGACTTGGTTTAGACCTGTTTCAGACTTGGTTCAGAACTGGTTCAGATCAAGTTACAATCTAGTTCAGACCTGGTTCAGACACTATTTAGTCCTGGGTTTAGTCCTGCTTCAGGCCTGGGTTTAGTCCTAGATCAGTCTTGGCTCAGTCCTGGCTAACACCTAGTTTAGACCTAGTTTAGATCTAGTTCTGACCTGGTTTAGACCTGGTTTAGACCTAGTTTTGACCTAGTTTAGATCTAGTTTAGACCTAGTTTAGACCTGGTTTAGACCTAGTTTAGACCTAGTTTAGATCTAGTTTAGACCTGATTTAGACCTGGTTTAGACCTAGTTTTGACCTAGTTTAGATCTAGTTTAGACCTAGTTTAGACCTGATTTAGACCTGGTTTAGACCTAGTTTTGACCTAGTTTAGACCTAGTTTTGACCTAGTTTAGATCTAGTTTAGACTTAGTTTATACCTGGTTAAGACCTATTTTTGACCTGATTTAGACCTAGTTTTGACCTAGTTTAGACCTGATTTAGACCTAGTTTAATCTTAGTTTAGTCCTGGTTCAGTCCTAGTACTGACTTTTAAGCTACAAAAGTAAATTATGTAATTAAAAATTGTGTTGTAAATTGTGGAAAATATATATTTAATTCGCTAACTGAAATAACATTAAAAAGAAAATTGAAATTGCAAATTCATTTTCAAATTTTTTTTTACAAATTATTTAGACTTTTTTATTTGATAAGCTCCTGAACCGTTTTCATTTTGAACAACCCGTAGACCAAATTCACAAATTCACACCTACAACACAGCACTTACACATGTGCTACACAAATAAGCACGGTTTAGTTTGTGCATCAGAAACCAAGCGTGTATTTCTGAAGCCTAGAATAAAAAGTGTGAAGCTGCATAACTCAAATTACTGTTTCTGTTCCCCTTTTTAGAACCTGCCTACAGTTCTGCAAAATCCGCCGCCACAATGAACCTCAACTCAACTCACACCTTCAATTCTTCCATTTCCTCGATAATTTATTCAACCACCGACGCCACCTCCCTCTCCGCCAACCCGCCCCCCGTGTGCAACCAGCAAAACGAGGCTTTCAACTGGATCCTGGCCGTCGTCTACTCGCTGTTTTTCATTTTTGGACTTATCGGGAACCTCTTTGCATTGTGGGTGTTCATTTTCCTCCAAGCAAGTCGAAACTCGGTGCGGGTCTTTCTCATAAACTGCGCCGTGGCTGATCTGGTGCTGCTGGCCTGCTTGCCGTTTCGCATTTTCTACCACGCCAACGGAAATAAGTGGGTGCTCGGTTCGGTAGCGTGCAAGGCAGTCGGCAACTTGTTTTATATGAATATGTACATCAGCATCGCGCTTTTGGGCTGCATAAGTCTGGACCGGTATTTGAGATTAAGGGGAAAAGGGAGAGCGAAACGAGGCATTCGGATCCGTTTGTGCGGCAGAAGCTGGCCTTGGAGTTGGGTCGTCTGCACGTGTTTGTGGACTTTTTCCATCCTCGCCCTCGTCCCCATGATCGCGACGGCGGAAGATAAAGAATTTGACAACAAGTGTTTTCAGTATAAACCGCGGAACAAGGGAGCGAAAGGCAAAGCGTACTTCAACGGCGCTTTGGTGATAATGTTCTGGATCGTCTTCTTAACGATGATGGTTTCTTACGCGAGGGTGGCCGCGCAGTTGCTCAAAGTTTCGAGAGATAAACCGGACTTGCCCAACGCGCAACGGTACCAGCGAACGGCCAAAAAATCCTTCTTCGTTTTGTTTTTGTTTACGATATGCTTCGGGCCGTACCACGCGTTTCGCCCGATCTATATCTTTTCGCAACTTCAAGATATTTCCTGTGACTACATCCAGCTGATGAACCAATCCAACGAAGTCATGCTGTTGTTTTCGGCGTTCAACAGCTGCCTCGATCCGATCATGTACTTCATTCTGTCGGGATCGGTGAGGAAAACGGCGTTCAAAACTATAGGACGCGGATTCAGCGCTAGATTGGTGTCTCTGAACGACGCTACGTCCAACAGCTCCACCATAGACTACAGGAGGCAGTCGGTGCCGTTCGTCTCGCCCGGAAACGACTCGACACCTCGCAGCAGCGGGATCGTGAACAGCACGAGGAAGACCAGTTTAGTGACAGCGCACTATTCTGGAAACAAATGAGAACTGCGACGAAAGGACGATTTCTTAAAAGTGCACATCTAAACACCTCGATATGCTGTAAATAACCTGTGTGTAAAATAAATGTAATTGAAATTTAGGGGGTAATTTTGGTCGCTCGTGGTTTAGACCTGGTTCAGTCCTGGTTCAGTCCTGGTTCAATCCTGGTTCAGTCATGGTTCAGTCTTGGTTCAGTCCGGGTTTAGTCCTTGGTTCAGTCCTGGTTCAGTCCTGGTTCAGTCCTGTTTTAGTCCTGGTTCAGTCCTGTTTTAGTCCTGGTTCAGTCCTGGTTCAGTCCTGGTTCAGTCCTGTTTTAGTCCTGGTTCAGTCCTGGTTTAGTCCTTGGTTCAGTCCTGGTTTAGTCCTGGTTCAGTCCTGGTTCAGTCCTGTTTTAGTTCCTGGTTCAGTCCTGGTTTAGTTCCTTGGTTCAGTCCTGGTTCAGTCCTGGTTCAGTCCTGGTTCAGTCCTGGTTCAGTCCTGGTTTAGTCCTGGTTCAGTCCTGGTTCAGTCCTGGTTTAGTTCTGGATCAGTCCTGGTTCAGTCCTGGTTCAGTCCTGGTTTAGTCCTGTTCTGGATCAGTCCTGGTTCAGTCCTGGTTCAGTCCTGGTTCAGTCCTGGTTTAGTCCTGGTTAAAGGTCTTACATTGCGCAGAAACTTGGCTCTTGGGAGCTTTAAGTCGTGTTATAATGTTGTTTCCTCCTCGAAAACAGACCTGGAGTTGTGTTTTTAACTCTTCATTATTAGACTGTTTACATCTCCAAAGCTCAAAACGCTCCACCTTGTGATGTCATAACGTGGTAGTTTTCAAGTGAACAGCCCCTTTTACCTTTAGTTTAGCAGAGATCGGCAATTCTAGATCTGAAATTCATTCTGTGAAATCCACATGACTCTAGTGAAGTTGTGTGGAGTTTAAAAACACAATGGAGAACTTCCTGTACTACCACACAATGACATCACAAGGTGGAACAACTCCAGGTCTGTTTGTGATAAAAAAAAACAATATTAAGCGTAAAATGGTCCTGGTTTGTTCCTACTACAGTGTTATAACAAAGAGCAGTTTAGTGGCAGCTAGTTTAGTGGAGAACTACTTTGTAACTTCATATTTTATCTACTAATATATTTTTGTAAATACCAACTACTAACAAACAGTTTATTGTGTAAGTATGTAAAATAAATAAAGTTATACTGAAAAAAAATGTTTCTGTGTCTCATCATCTGATATTTTAAGTATCGAAGTACATTTCATAAAAGTGAATACAACTAAACTCGTCACAGAATATTTTACAAAATTAACTGGCATAGTCCCTGGTTCAGTCCTGGTTCAGTCCTGGTCAAGTTCCTGGTTTAGTTCCTGGTTTAGCCCCTGGTTGAGGTCCTGGTTCAGTTTTCTGACCTGATTTAGTCCATGATTTTTAGTCCTGGTTTAGTCCCAGGTTTAGAACTGGTTCAGTCCCTGGTTCAGTCCTCTTTTAGTCTTGCTTTAGTCCTCGATCAGTCCTGGTTCAGTCCCTGGTTCAGTCCTGCTTTAGTCCTGCTTTAGTCCTGCTTTAGTCCTGCTTTAGTCCTGGTTCAGTCCCTGGTTCAGTCCTGCTTTAGTCCTGCTTTAGTCCTGCTTTAGTCCTGCTTTCAGTCCCTGGTTCAGTCCCTGGTTCAGTCCTGCTTTAGTCCTGCTTTAGTCCTGCTTTAGTCCTGCTTTAGTCCTGGTTCAGTCCCTGGTTCAGTCCTGCTTTAGTCCTGCTTTAGTCCTGCTTTAGTCCTGCTTTAGTCCTGCTTTAGTCCTGGTTCAGTCCCTGTTTTAGTCCTGCGTTAGTCCTGCTTTAGTCCTGCTTTAGTCCTGCTTTAGTCCTGCTTTAGTCATGGCTTAGTCCCTAGTTTAGTCCTGGTTCAGTCCTGGTTTAGACCTGGTTTAGTTCTTGGTTCAGTCCTAGTTCAGTCCCAGTTTAATCGTCCTTTAGTTCTGCTCTAGTCCTAGTTTTGTCCTGCTTCAGTCCTGGTTCAGTCGTGGTTGAGTCCTGCTTTAGTCCTGTCTTAGTCATGGTTTAGTCATGGCTTAGTCCCTAGTTTAGTCCTGGTCCAGTCCTGGTTTAATCCCTGTTCAGTCCTGGTCCAGTCCTGGTCCAGTGTCTCACCTTGACGTCCCGGTGGATCACGTTGTTGTCGTGGCAGTACCGTAGAGCCTCTAAGATCTGTCTCATGTAATGACTGTGAAAATGAAAACCGTGAAACGAACACAAACGTGATTTACTGAATTAAACATCATTAAATTAATCTTAACATTTTAAATAAAGCTCATTACCTGGCCACTGCTTCACTGTACACGAACCCCGCGTCTGCCCTCTTCACGATCTCAAAACACAAGTCTGCCCCGTCCATACTGAGGAGAGAAGAGACGGAATTTACTCACTGAATAAACAGGTAATAAAAATAAAAATAATATAATAAAAGCTATAAAAAAGTCCATATTACACTATTTTCTGATTTATGTTTTGTATTTATGCTGTTTCCTCATCACAAACAGACCCGGAGTTGTGTTTTGTTTGATTCTTTCTTCATTTTTAGTGAATAAAAGATAAGAGATAGAGCTGTTGACTTGAAAACTACCACTTCATGACATCACAAGGTGGAGCAGAGCATTTTGAGTTGTGGAAATATAGATATTCTAATAGAGATGTAACAATATCTGAATCTCTCGGTACGATATTATCACGATGTGCGTCTCACAGTACGATATTTATTGCGATATTTTGAAGAGGCTGGGAAACTTTTTTGCTTTTAAAATACTTTGACAAGATTTTGGCATGAATTTTTTCGATTTTTTAAATGCAACATTTTGTGGAAGCTTCGAACAAAACTGTTAATATGCTACTTTTTCCTCTTAAAACGCCTTGACAAGACTTACTCCAAAGAACTAAGACTTAAAAGTGCTTAGAACTGTTATTTCTTCTTGTAGTCTGCACTGACATGGAGCAAAGGATCATGGTCTATGTAGTTCCCTCTGTGTTTTTTAGTTATAGGCGAGTTTCAGCTGACGTCATTGTTATTAAAAGCCCGCGTTGCATGCTGGGAAATATTTTGGTCGGAGGCAAGAAACACGGTAGCGTCAAACACAGTGCGTAACCTCGTGTATTTATCCCCGATAATGGTAAATTCCTGCTGCATTATCGGATGCACAAATAGAAGCACGGAAGAAGGAAAATGTCTTTTTCGTATTCTGAGCGAATTAAACGGCTTTCAAACATCCGCAGAGCAAACGTAGAAGATCCTAACAAACCGTGGACTCCAACAAGTTCAACGACACATCGAGACTCTTGGAGGTTTTCATCTTTTCTGCTGTGAATGGCCCAGGAGTTTCCACCAAGTCATTGTGGATATCGCCCAAGTGAATATTTGTCCAGGTATTTGGAGATTCTGACCAGAAATTTGGTTTGGTTCCACCTTTTGTCGGGGTTGAAAAGGGTGATTTGGCGTCCGTCGATGCTTATGACCAATTTCTGGTCAAATGGTCTTGGGTCCTCTGCCGTTAGAGTGGATAAATATCCGGGATCAATACTCTTTACGTGCTTTCTCGCTCCGTCCGTCATGTTGAATTAGTGTTTCTTGCCGCCGACCAAAATAATTCCCAGCATGCAACGCACGCTTTTGTCAACAATGAAACTTGCCTATAACTCTTAATTTAAGCAAAGAGACTTATAATTCAATATATTATGATGTTCACGATATTATTGTGAGAACTTGGATGACACGATATCACGATATTTCGGTTATTGTTACATCCCTAATTATTTCCGTCATAATCCCAAGAATTCAAGTAAAAAACATATTTCTTCATGCTGTTTGCGCTGAAATTTATCACAGCATAAATAGTTCCCGATGTTTATAAGCCAATGCTACTGTAAAACCATGCATTTACGCAAAGGAACATTTAATTCTATATATTGTGACAGTCCACGAGATTATTGTGAGACTTTTGACGATACGATACCGTGATATTTTGGTTATTGTTACATCCTTACAGTCTAATAATCTAGAATTTCTCAATAAAGTAAAGTAAATGAAACAAAACACAACTCCAGGTCTGTTTTTGAGCAGGTGACAACATTATAACACGACTTAAAGCTCACAAGAGTCAGTTTTGTGGAGTAATTTAAGACCTTTAATATGAAACAGAGATTATCTTAAAAACTCACAATTCAAAGACCATGTAGAGCATCCCATCTGAGCTGTACGTCTCCAGCAGCTCCACGATGTGAGGGTGTTTCAGCATGTGGCAGATACTCGCTTCTCTCTTCAGATCTGGAAACACAAACACAAACGCAGGGAAATGTAGAGTTAGATTTAGTTCTAGAGGATTAATCGCAATTTAATCAAAATCACAGTCCGAATTGGGCAGTTAACAAATCACAAAAGCTGTAATTTTTGAAGTTCCATAATTTTCTCTGCATTACTCTGAATAAAAACAGCTGATCCTGTAGTTTAAATCTGTACAAACATGTCCTGAAATGCGATTTTTGTTTAGGTTTCAATTTAGATTTCAGTCTTTTTGTCAATTCTTCTGAACTTTAAACAGAATCCTCTTATTAAAACATGAATCACAAATCTAAGAAAAAAAAAAGTTATCACAATAAAATGATTAAGCTTTCTATGATTGTTTAAATGATGAAATGATTAAGCACTCTACACTACAGCTATAATATATGCTATTCTATATTTTGACCAGCAGAGGGAGCCAAAAGCATGTCCTAAATACTACAGAACAATCAGGGTGAGCAAGAATTTTTGGATATCGAAAATGCATAATTAGCACTAGTCACACTTTTTTTAATATCTCCAATTTGCACAAAGTTTTCTAACAGGAATAAAAATAGTTATGAGAAACAAAGTAAATAGTAAAAGAACAAATAATAAAAAAAAAAAAAACATTAATAATGTAGTTGCACTCTAAAGACACTATTAAACAGTAAAGTTATTTTAAAGTAAATCTGGGCAATATGACAAAAAAATATATATATACTTTTTTTTTTTTCCTCTCTGATCAAACACAATTTTGTATTTTGCTTTGTCCAATTATAAGAGAGTAAAAAATGCCTTTCAGTCTTAATTTCCTGAACAAAAACAAGACAGACTTAATTACTGCCATTTAAAATTTTCAAAAGTGAGATTTCTTTCTCCAAACATTTCTGTCGGCGCAAAACCACATGTTTTTACTGAACAGCTTCTGATTAATTAAAATATGATACTGCGACTGCTGCTACTACGACTACTACTACTACTGCTGCTACTGTTACTGCACTACTACTACTGCAACTGCTACTACTACTACTACGCCTACTACTACAGCTACTGCAACTGCCGCTACTAGTACTACTACTGCAACTGCTACTGCTACTGCTACTACTACTACTGCTACTACTGCTACTACTACTACTGCTACTGCAACTGCACTGCAATTGGTACTACTACTACTGTGACTACTGCAACTGCTACTGCAACTGCTACTGCTACTACTACTACTACTACTACTACTGCTACTGCTACTGCTGCTACTACTACTACTACTGCAACTGCTACTATTACTGCTACTCCTACTGCTACTGCACTACTACTGCATCTACTGCTACTATTAATGCTACTACTACTGCAACTGCTACTATTACTACTACTACTACTACTACTACTACTACTACTACTACTACTACTACTACTACTACTACTACAATTACTGCTACGACAACTACAGTCTCTAGTACTATACAGCTGATTTTTACCAAATGAGCATTTATCAAACGCTGAAACAGTTTGTAACAGTTGAAACATAAAACACAATAGTTTTAACACTTGTTAATCTTCTTCACATTTTCCAGTTTCCCATCTGTACATGAGCTCCTCTCTCCTCTGTCCTCTCTCTCTCCTCTCTCCTCTGTCCTCTGTCCTCTCTCCTCTGTCCTCTGTCCTCTGTCCTCTCTCTCTCCTCTGTCCTCTCTCTCCTCTGTCCTCTCTCCTCTGTCCTCTGTCCTCTCTCCTCTGTCCTCTCTCCTCTGTCCTCTCTCCTCTGTCCTCTGTCCTCTGTCCTCTCTCCTCTGTCCTCTCTCCTCTCTCCTCTGTCCTCTCTCCTCTGTCCTCTCTCCTCTGTCCTCTCTCCTCTGTCCTCTGTCCTCTCTCCTCTGTCCTCTCTCCTCTGTCCTCTCTCCTCTGTCCTCTCTCCTCTGTCCTCTCTCCTCTGTCCTCTCTCCTCTGTCTCTCCTCTGTCCTCTGTCCTCTCTCCTCTGTCCTCTCTCCTCTGTCCTCTCTCCTCTCTCCTCTCTCCTCTGTCCTCTCTCCTCTGTCCTCTGTCCTCTCTCCTCTCGTCCTCTCTGTCCTCCTCTCTGTCCTCTGTCTCTCTCTGTCCTCTCTCCTCTGTCCTCTCTCCTCTGTCCTCTGTCTCTCCTCTGTCCTCTGTCCTCTCTCCTCTGTCCTCTCTCCTCTGTCCTCTCTCCTCTCTCCTCTGTCCTCTCTCTCTCTCTGTCCTCTCTCCTCTCTGTCCTCTCTCCTCTGTCCTCCTCTCTCCTCTCTCCTCTGTCCTCTGTCCTCTCTCCTCTGTCCTCTCTGTCCTCTCTCCTCTGTCCTCTCTCCTCTGTCCTCTCTCCTCTGTCCTCTCTCCTCTGTCCTCTCTCCTCTCTCTGTCCTCTGTCCTCTGTCCTCTCTCCTCTGTCCTCTCTCCTCTCTGTCCTCTCTCCTCTGTCCTCTCTCCTCTGTCCTCTCTCCTCTGTCCTCTCTCCTCTCTCTGTCCTCTCTCCTCTGTCCTCTCTCCTCTGTCCTCTCTCCTCTGTCCTCTCTCCTCTGTCCTCTCGTCCTCTCTCCTCTGTCCTCTCTCCTCTCTCTGTCCTCTCTCCTCTGTCCTCTCTCTGTCCTCTCTCCTCTCCTCTGTCCTCTCCTCTGTCCTCTGTCCTCTCTCCTCTGTCCTCTCTCCTCTGTCCTCTGTCCTCTCTCTGTCCTCTGTCCTCTCTCCTCTGTCCTCTGTCCTCTCTCCTCTGTCCTCTCTCTCCTCTCTCTCTCTCTCTCTGTCCTCTGTCCTCTCTCCTCTGTCCTCTCTCCTCTCTGTCCTCTCTCCTCTGTCCTCTCTCCTCTGTCCTCTCTCCTCTCTCCTCTGTCCTCTCCTCTGTCCTCTCTCCTCTCTCTGTCCTCTCTCCTCTCTCCTCTGTCCTCTGTCCTCTCTCCTCTCTCCTCTTTCCTCTCTCCTCTGTCCTCTTTCCTTTCTCCTCTTTCCTCTCTCCTCTGTCCTCTTTCCTCTCTCCTCTTTCCTCTCTCCTCTGTCCTCTCTCCTTTCTCCTCTGTCCTCTCTCCTCTTTCCTCTCTCCTCTTTCCTCTCTCCTCTGTCCTCTTTCCTCTCTCCTCTTTCCTCTCTCCTCTTTCCTCTCTCCTCTTTCCTCTCTCCTCTTTCCTCTTTCCTCTCTCCTCTCTCCTCTCTCCTCTTTCCTCTGTCCTCTCTCCTCTGTCCTCTCTCCTCTTCCTCTCTCCTCTCTCCTCTCTCCTCTGTCCTCTGTCCTCTATCCTCTCTCCGCTCAAATCGTGACTGCTTTTTTTCTTACACAACAATAAAAAACACTGCTCCTCTCTCTCTCTCTCTCTCTGTGATGTCTTTCTCTTTTCATTCTCCCTCTCCTCTCCGTCTCTCTCCTCTGTCTGTCTGTTTTTCTCTCTCCTCTCTCCTGTAATGCTCCACCCCATCATCCGTCTTTCTGTCCATCTCCTCTCCTTCTCTCTCCTTACTCTCTTTCTGTCTGTCTTTCTCTCTCTTTCTTTCTCGTTCTGTCTGTCTGACTCTATCTCCTTTTTCTCTCTCTTTCTCTCCATTCAACCCCTACCCCCTCTCCTGTATCTCTCCTCCTCTTTTGGTCTGTTTAATCTTTCTATCTCTTCTTCACCCCTTTCCCTCTCTTATGCTCTCTTCTTTACCCTCTCCCCCTCTCTATTTCTTTCTCACCCCTGTTTTTCTCTCCTGCTCCCTTCTTTACTCTCTCTCTCTTTCTATCTCTTTCTCACCCATTTCTCTCTCCTGCTCCCTTCTTTACCCTCTCTCTTTTTATCTCTTTCTCATCCGTTTCTCACTCTTTTACCCCCTTCTTTACCCTTTCTCTCTTCCTATGTCTTTCTCACCCATTTCTCTTTCTCTCTCTCCTTTCTTTACCCTCTTTCTCCCTCTCTCCTGTGTCTTTCGGTCTTTCTCAACCATATATGTCCTCCCTTTTTCTCTTTCTCACTCACTCTCTTCCTCTCCTTCTACCCTTTACTCTCTCCTCTTTTTGACTGTCTTTCTCCCTCTCTTCTCTCCCTTGTTTCTGTTCTCTCTCCTATCCCCCCTTTCTCTCTCTTCTGTCCCTTTCTCTTCCCTTTTTCACTGTCTTTCTCTCCTTCTCCCTCTCTCCTACCCCCCCACTCTCTCTCTCTCTCATTTCTTTCTCTTCCCTTTATGTCTTTCTCTCCCCATTTCTCTTCTCTCTTTCTTTCTCCATCACTCTCTCTCTTCTCCTCCTTGTCCCCTTTTCTTTCTCCTCTTTTTCACTGTCTTTCTCCATCTCTTCTCTCCCTTGTTTCTGCTCTCTCTCCCTCTCTCTGTTTTGTCTCTTTCTCTTCCCTTTTTGTCTTTCTCTCCCCATGTCTCTCCTCGCTTTTTCTCTCCATCACTCCCTCTCTTTCCTTCTTTTATGTTTCACTGTCTTTCTCTCCTCCGTCTCTCTCTCTGTCTTTCCTGTCCTCCGTCACAGAGCGTCAGTATTCCGTTTGTTTGATCAGAGGAGGTTCTTGAGCGTAACAATGGAGTCCAGTGTCCGACAGAGGAGCGGTGAGGCGACTCTACTGAGCGCGCTCCAAAATTACAAATTACATAACCCAGACTATTTACTATAAAACTACTGCCACTGCCTCCACTACTGCTCCCGACTCTTTAAAGCCGCGTTACGTAACTTTTTTTTTCCCCAACACTGATCACTGTTTAATCTGAGTTTGAATGGACGCAATTAGAAAACTTCAACAACAAAAACAACAACTAAATCTCCTGTTTTATTCTGAATAATCCTGTATTTGTTTGTTATTATTTGTTATTACTTCATATTATTCTGTTTTTAACACATCCACAAATCTGACCTGTAACTTGGCCTGGTGAAATATCAATATATCTTTTTTTTTTTAATGTGATGATACAGTATCGATATTGGGGGCTGCTCGATATATCGCCAAGAGTATTTTTTTTTACCCTCACCCATGGTCATGAGCTTTAGATAATGACCGAAAGGACGAGATCGCAGATGCAAGCGTCC